TATTAGTCTCAAACTATTCACTGTTACAGGGGCCCAACAGGCTTTTTATTGGAATGTAGTATAAGTTAAAGAGTATATTCGAATATTTTTAAAACCTGTGTTGTAGGAAGACTCTGTAAGGAGGGCCTTGATTAATACTCTAGTCCAATTAGTCTGAAATAATGTCTTCAAATATTTTGAAAGGTTAACTTGCAATATCATTTTTGTTAACTGAATAGGGTGTCTTATTGAGAGAGTCTTGAGTTTCCCCCAAAAAACATTTTGACATTTAAACTTCTACTCTAAAAGCCAGCAAGTAGTATTTCTCCTAAAGGATGATTGCCTGTAATTTACTGCAAAAGTTTTTCATGATTGAATTGATGCTTTCAGATCCTGAATGAAGAGAGTTACGTGACCAAAAAAAAAAAAAATGAGCATGAAGTTACAGTGTTACGGTGTTCTTCACATCCCCCTTGATTTGGGAACTTACCACCTGATTGTGTGAATTTTTTTAAAAGTGGCTTAATAGGGAGAAATACAGTGTCATGATTCAGAGAATCTGTCAAAATGAGATCCGCAGCAACCAAAAAAATTCATGTTGGATCAGGAGCACTTTTCTCCAGATCCCAGCTTTGAGTTTGTACTATTTCTACTCTTTGGCCAGTTGTTAATGACCAGAAGCTGCTGCCTTGTCATTACTAGTCTCCTCGAAGTGTCACGACTGACTGGCCCCGAGTCTGAGACCCGTCACCCGTCCTTTGAGAAACCTGCTTTATCACTAGAGTAAACAGATGGAGGGCTGTGATTTCTTTTTTTCTTTCTTTCTTTTTTTTTTTTAAGATTTTATTTATTAGAATGAGCAGTGGGTAAGGCCAGAGGGAGTGAGAGAAGCAGACTCCCCGCTGAGCAGGGAGCCCGATGTGGGACTCGATCCCAGGACCCCGGGATCATGACCTGAGCCAAAGGAAGGCAGATGCTTAACCGACTGAGTCACCCAGGCGCCCCAGGGCTGTGATTTCTTAAATACTAAAGTTCTTTTACAGTATATGCCTGAAAGATAACTCAAAGACATCATCACGATACATTTAAACACTGTATCTATTGGATGGTTATGAACCTACAACTATACTTTAGCCAAGCTCTGTGGAGAGAATTCTCCTACGTAACAGCCAGCTAGTTGTCCATGTTGAATAGGACAACCCTGACATGTCAGTGGGGGTAAGGCCCTTGGTGAGCACTGGACTGTTGCCATAGTGCCAGGGATCAATGTCGGCTCTCCTGTCTCCCTTGTGCCCGCCCTGCGCCCCCAGGGATGTGTCCTCCGAGTCGGACAGCAACATCAGGCAGATCAACCAGGAGGCAGCGCACCGGCGCTTCCGCTCACGCAGGCACATCAGTGAGGACCTGGAGCCCGAGCCCAGCGAGGGCGGGGACGGCCCGGAGGTAAGCCAGCCCCACGCGGCCTCTCCCTCTCCCTCTCCTGCCCCCCAGCTGGATTCCGTGTCCTCCTTTTTCTCTGGGGGATTCCTGTCTAATAATGACCGATCGTGGTCTTCCAGCTCATTGAGGACCATCGGGATGTTCATTCATTTAGGAAGTGCTTATAAAAGTCATGTTTGATGAATACGTGTGTCTCTCCATTACAAAAGGGAATGACATTGTGTCTAGTGGTGGAAATCTCAAGATATTTTCACTTTATAATTTACTTTTTCCCAGAGTCTGACCGTATCTTATTCAATGGCAACGTGGTTGTCCTGTTCCAGCAGTTGAATGAGCCCTGTAACTTGTGTGGCTACCACACATGCTTTTACTGAGTGGTGTTGACAATCATGGGATTTATTCCCAAGAAAATAGAAATCTGGGTGAATTTAAGAAGGTTTATTATTTTTCCCCTTAAATGTTTATGGTAAATTGCTGGAGGAAAAATTAGGAATTGAGCAACAAATGAGCAATGACTGCACCTTCCACGCACCCTTAACAACTCTATTTCCTTACTAGAAATCCATTCTTTTCAGACCGTGCGTTATGAAGATGATCATTCACAAAATGTTACAGTGCTCAAAATTGGAAAAGCAAAATTAATGATAATAAATTCACTGAAAGTTACTTAAAAGCACTATTTAATTACAGCTTATAGCATCTCTGCTGTTTTCATTGTGACTCCTCAGCAGTTAGAGTAAAAGAAAATCCATGAAACTCGTGAATGCATTCCTGAGAACATTTTTAACCCATATATGTCATCACTTGTGCTAGAACTGAGTCACTGCTCAGAGAGGTGGTGTTATAAAATGGTGAAGAGTACAGCTCCTAGAGCCAAGCTTCCTTGGGTCAGTTCCTGGTCCTGCCACTTCCCAGCTCTGTCCTCTTTGGCAAGTTACTCTTTGTGCCTCGGTTTCCTCATCTGTCCATCAGGGTAGTAGTCACATCTTCCTCGTGGTTATGGAGAAGATTGTGTGCCTCCTATAGTGCTTGGTAAATGGTAATTATAGTTATTATAATGGTTATCATTGTTGGCAAGGTGACGAGAGGATCCCTTGTTCCTGCCATTTACCCCAGTGTCTCTCGTTCCTTGATAGCCTTGGGAGACCATTTCTGAAGAAGCGAACGTCTCTGGGGACTCCCTCAGTCTGTCACTGCCCCCACCACCATCCTCCCCAATGTCTCGGACCAGCCCTCAGGAGCTGTCTGAGGAACTGAACAGAAGGCTTCAGATCACTCCAGACTCCAATGGGGAGCAGTTTGGTTCTTTGATTGTAAGTAATAGTCCCATTTGAATGAGAAGTTGGGCCAGTATTTTACCATTGCTTATTCCTTATTGCTTTAAGTGTGCAAATAATGACCAAGATTCTTCCAGCTCCCAGAGAACTCTGACATTTTCCAAAGGTCTTCGTTTCCTAAGAGGACAATACCAAAATTAGTCCAAGCAGGTGAGAAATCCTGATTTGTAAAGAACTCAAGAAAATAAGGGTCCATGACTTCTATTATTACCAGCTTTAATCCTGAATTTCTTTTCCCAGCCAAAGGCTCATAATAGTACCTCCATTACAAAGGTGGTGTTTCACACTGGGACCTAAGAGACATTGGGCCTCTTAATGAGTCCTCTTAATTTGTACTCTGCTGCACCCTGTCTCATTCTCATGTCACAGATGAAGGCATGATGTTGAAGGGACTCATCCGAGACAAAGTTAGAATGGGAGACAGAAGACCTCCCCTAAGTCCCAGAGAACAAATCCTTAAGAAAGGTTATGAAGTGGTGGCACGGACCTCAGGGTAACATTTGAACTTGGTTTCTCAACCATCAGGGAACCTCTTTCTAGAAAGTTGGGATGGGGCTAAGCCCCAATGAGAAGCAGCAAAGCCCATCATGAAGACCTCCATGTTTGACAACACAAAACCATGCAGAAAAGTCCATAGAAAAATACCTGCTTGTGTGTAAGTTGAGAACAAATGCAGTCTGGATGTTACTCAAGAAATTGAACTTAAAGATACGTTACAGTAAATGATAGTAGTCACTCCACTGAAAATGGCATCCTAGAAAAATAGTCATTATTACAACCGTATCAAATCTAAGTGGATGGGAGGACCACATCAAGTGTAAAAGCGAGTAAGTGTTCACAAAATTGTTACTTCAGTTACGGTGTTTATTTAAAGACACCATTGGCCTATATTGTATGAGTTGATGTGATTACTCAGTTAATGTGGGTTTATATTAAAATTCTGTAAATGTTCTTCAGAAAGAGAAATACCACTGAGACAAAAAATTTAATACCAAAGGGCGGGGGAACAATTATATGTGGGGTATTTGAATTGGTGAAGCTGTTGCTGTGGAAACGACGTAAGCAATGAAGCCATATATTTAAAACCTATAAAAGGTAGTAAGTAGTGCAAGAGCAGCAGGTGTCCACCTCTAGTCTACCAAGTAAAAAATCATAATTTTCTTCAGCATTAGTATTAAGGTAGCATCTCCAGTAATTTGTATGGGGACCAGCCTGCATTTAATTATCATAAAATACCTTTAGGATCCAAGTGCAAGAGTCAGTATTATTTTAAGATTTGTGTTGAGTCTGATTTAACTATTAAGAATGTCTTGACAAAAGAAGAATACAGGACTCTTCTTCAGTTTTGCTTCTCGGAGTCACTCTGTATTCAAGGACAATAGCATGACCTTTTAATAAAGAAGGAATCCTTCATGCTAACCATTGTGGAAGGTCACGAATAGGCCCCCGTCACTGTCACAGCGTCTTTCTTTGACCTCACCCCACTTCTCATTGCAAAGTATTAAAAATGAGCGAGTGCCGTGTACATACTTATCCCATGGATGAACCAGTTGCTGATTAGACACTTGTGTCTGGGGCCTACTGCTGTTCTCTGATGGATCTGTGAGGCTTTTTTCCTAACAATATAGATTAATACAAACAAGTCGGAGGAATGTTATACATCACACACTCGATGTTTTAGGTTAACGTTGCTAATTTCCCTTATTCCTGTTCTGTACGACTTCAACTCCATTCAGAAGCTAAAATGATAAACACCTGACCCTTCGGAGTAGCGCAAGACCATATTTGAGTTCTCTGGACTTAGACTCCAACTGACCCTTTGTCAGTAGTAATGTGCAATAAATGTCTAATAACCATATATCGATATTTTTTCCTCTGTTCACATCACACTGGAACTTACCCCGCGGGTGCACCCCAAAGCAGAATACAAGACTGCTAGCTTCCTGTTTCCATTTTTAGAGCAGTACTAGAGCGTTACACTGGCCTCTTGAGTCCCCTTTCTTGTTTTGGCTCTTCCTCCTCTTTCTGCTGTCCCTCCTCACTAAGGACCAATCAGAATCCCAGTGGGACTGAAACGCTTGAAAATGCAAGATTACTTGGCTACTTGAAGGACTACTGTCACGGCTCAGAAAAGCTGGTGTCTCAGTTAATTACCTTCTAAGACCAAAGAGCACTCCATTAGGCTTCAGTGACATTTTTTAAAGCAACAAGCCCAGCTCCCGGGCCTGTGTTTTCATGATGCTTCATGTCCTTTCCTCCCTTCAGCAGAGAGAGCCGTCCTCGAGGTTGCGGTCCTGTAGCGTCACTGACACGGCCGCCGAGCAGGCTCATCTACCACCGGTAACCCACACCCCATCGCCAGCCATCGGTTGGCTCTTGCGGCTTGTATTTGAAATCATCTGGGCTACAGAGGAAGAGTTTTTCCTGTGCAAATCCATTCTCTGTCTAAATGAGACCTCAGAATTTCCTAGCAAATTAATTGCCCAAGGAGAGTGGATTTGCAGTACTAAGAGTTACTGCCACGAAGTCTCTGAAATGCTAAAAACTTTCCATTGCTTGGCTTTTCCACCCAAATTCATACCAAATTCTGATGTGCTTACCTGACTTAACTAAAAAGCATGCTTTAATAATTCTTTTCTTTTTTTTTAAACTTCATTTAGTCACTAACGCTGTGCTCCGGTGAGCTATATCTTAAGAACATATTGAATCCCTTTGAACAGGAAGAACTCTTCTGGGTTTGCAGGGAGTGGTTTTTTTCCCATCACTAATGCCCTAAACTCTCAACCCACAAAGCGCCTGTACCTTCTCCATAAAGGCAGCTCTACTAACTAAAGAATTGGCTATAATTTGTCCCCATCCTCCCACAATGTTCAGAACTAGCAGCAAATATGGGAGAATGAGGAGTGTTTGACAATATAGGACAAAAATAAGAACAAATAATCAAATTGGAAGGCAGACCAGGACTGCCTTGGGGAGAGGTCTGGTGTACGCAGTAAAAATTTTTTTTGTAAATTTGGTTCTTCCTTTGGAGGAGAAAATATTTTGTGGTTTTAGCAAGTTCAACTTGTTTAACCTTGACCAGTTTTTTTTTTTATTAGTACAAATCCTTGATCATTTGGGGGGCACTAATACTATATCATGTATGAAGTTAAAGGAAAAAAGATCGTACTTAACAGTTTTTGTGCAGTCGTGGTGTCTTCCCCATCGTGTACATTTTTACTTCAAAGCATATTGTTGCCTGTGTTTTAGTCTTTTATGGTGACAGCATGAATTCATGAGTATGCTGGTTAGCTGAGTCATTCAACCTGGTAGATTTCAGTTGTGGCGCACATGGAATGGACTGGTAATCAGAAGCTTGACAAGAGCATCCTTTCTGGGTTGGTTTTAGTACAGGCCTCTCCAAAAACCAGACTAATCAGCTGTGATAGCCTGGGGAGGGGATCCTCCTCAACCTGATGATTCTGTGATTTTCCTTGATGAATTAATGGCACTTTCCCTCCTTTTCAAAATCAATGTCAATTTTATCTACCAAAGAGCTCACTCTCCTTGAAAACTGTTGTTGATTCCTCCCTCTTTCCCTGTACTCTATAAAGCTGTCAACTCACTGATCACTGGTGGCCTCTTACTCAAATTATGAGTTTGGCAGATTTAAGAATCTGCTTAATTATTCAACAGTAGGGGTAAAACCGGAGTGGTTGTTTCAGATAAGACCGCTCACATTCCTGAGGTTGCCGTTCATTGTTTTCTGGAATCATGGCTACAACCTGAGCCTTCTCTGGGTGGGAGGGTGACCGTGTCCCTGTTTTTCTTCTGGTCATCAGTGAGTGGTTTCTCAGCTTTATTTGGACATGGTGGATTTCAGGGATTCTGATTCATGTCACCTGCCTTATTGGCTGCAGTGATTCCTGGTTCAGGAAGCAGTGGGTGGTCTCCCTAAGTGCATTTCACTGATGTAAATTGTCATCAACAGCCCAGTGCCCCAACTAGGAGAGTGCGGTCATCAACTGTCACAGGTGGTGAGGAGCCAACGGTAATGATACCCTTGATCAGACATTAATGGCAAAACTGTGGGTTGGTTTTAACATTTTGCATAATGGTAACTATACCCTTTTTTCTTTTTTTGGATAAGATCAGTTTTTTTTTTCTTTTTTGGATAAGATCAGCTTCTTTGTGCTACAGAGCTGTACATGTTTGTCACTGTAAACCTCTCACATTGTTCAAAGGTAGTGGGTAAAACAACGATTTTTCATTCCATATAGTTTTACTAGGAATGCTGTCAAACTTCAATAAAGAACATTTAATTTGACTGTTTAAAATATATATCTGGGGCACCTGGGTGGCTCAGCCAGTTTCTTGATCTCTGCTCAGGTCTTGATATCAGGGTCGTGACTTTGAACCCTGCGTTGGGCTCCACGCTGGGTGTGGAGCCTACTTAAAAAAAAGAAAATATTCCTGCCACACTTGCTTCGGCAGCACATATACTAGAACATATTTCTGTCTTTAATGTTTGTACTCCTGGTCAGCTTTTCTTATTTGTTAGAATGCTTGGGTAAAATAATTGGTTTGGAGGAGAATAGAGAAGCCACAGGAACCGCACGCAGTTACACATGTGGATCCCTGGTCGTGCGCACGGCCCCCCTCTCTTGTCCATTTCCTGTACCAGATTTGCCAGACTGGGTTAGATTTTCTGTGTCATGAGCATGAACCAGTGACCCTGCTCTGCCACGAGTCTCTACTCACAGGAATGAACAAGTGTTCGTATAATTTGGGGGGAGAGAGGAGAGGACATATTTAAGAAGTTTAAAAGGTCTAGAAAAAAATAGTTCCTCTGAGCCAAGTATCTGTTACTCTTCGTCATTATTTTAAATAACTTTTAGTATTCCTATTTTGGGTAACTTGACTAGGACTGTGTACTTTAATTGCCTGGTTTTTGCTTGACCTCCCAGAGACAGGCTTAGCTTAAGAGTTTATGCTTTGAGCCGCTTGTAGCTCTTTGAAGAATTTTCCTTATTGTGTCACCATTGTTAGATTTGTCGTAACTGCTTATTACTTGAGAATACAATACCTTTAAATACACATGCAATTGCTGATTTTCGGCAGGATGTGGACTTAAAGAGGAAAAATTCAGTTATATTGTTAGACTTTAATGCTCAGCATTGCACACAGGAAAATCAAATTGACAATCAGCAAAAATGAGCCCCCTATAAGGTATTGAACTATAGTGATTTATGTGCAAGTCATGTGTTGGGTGGCCAGGCTCAGCCTCCAGTAGAATTCAGGAAATTGTGAATTGAACTAGCCTATTTCCTACTGTGCACTAGTAACTTCTACCAGAAGCAGAGCTGCAAGGTGGAGAAGATCATTTCATTAAAGAATTTTAATAGAATTCAGGGCTAATGAGCATTCCCTACCATCCATTTTTGCATTTTATTGGAGCCTTGGAATCTGCTGTTAGCACTGGAGTGTTGTGATAGCTGAAGATATTAAGTGACAGGACAAAGTGAATTATGAGAGCCCCTGGGCTCCATGGTGAGAGCTCCGTGGCAGGACAGAGTGACCCATGTGATTGAGGTCCTGTGGCCCCTGCCACTGCTGTGTTCTTACCGTTCCCCCACCCCACCCCAGCTGTGAATGAAAAATATGAGTTTGGTTTTGTTTAAAGAAAGACTGGGTAGTAGTCATTTTTAAATGCTTTCCTACTCTCATGCTTCCCATGTACCTGGTGACCTTTCGGCTGCAGTAAGCCAACCTACCTGATGGCTACATTAGAAACTGAGGCAGGTTTGATGAAAGTGTGTTTTCCAGTTCCATCTCTTAACCATGGTTTTTTCCCCTCTTTTGTACCCTCTCCTGCCCCTGCGTGCCAGCCCCACGTGTGCTGTCTCCTACTGGAGCTACCCTGGGACGTAACCTGTCATTCCATCCCCTGTGCTCCCACAAACATGCATGGCACACACACACACGTGCACACACACACAACTGGGATCTCATAAAGACATCACTTAGCAATTCGATATTTTTCACTTGTGGTCCTTCCTCTGGGACCTGTTAATAATTACCACTATTCGGTGATGTGAATGCACCTCAATTTATATAATTCCCCCCCCAGGGTGAGCATTTAGCTCCCCCCCCCCCCCTTGGGGCACTATGTACCACGTTGCCTTAACCCTCCTGGCGAACATCTCTTCCCATGGTAGTGCTTTGATTTTTGTAGCTTTAATGAACAACCCCTGATTGTCACCTATGGAACCACAACAGGTGGTTTAGGAACACTATACACTGGTGTATACGCACAGATCATACACACTGGGGTCACTTTCCGGCTGGCCACACAGGAGCCCTCTCTAAGACAAAAGGGAGTACAGTCCTTCTGGACTTCGCTATATCTACCTAAAAATACACCGAGTTAACGGTATAGCAGGGTGTGAGCGAATCTTGGAGAATCTGTGATAGTACCAAACTGTTCATCGTCTTTAAAAGCAGATTGAAACTTTCACAGTTTACACAGAATTGATTGCTCCGTCTTAATGAAATAAACGGGGCCATTAGGATAGGCTGTTTGGCGATGCAAGACACAATCGCCTCTTCCGATGGAAAGCTGGGGAATTTAGTTAAATTAGCTGACGAGCAGTTGATAACTTGTCTCTTGAGGTCCTATGGAACGAACACACATGTGAACACACACACACACACACACACACTCTCTCTCTCTCTCTCTCTCTCACTCTCTCACTCACTCACTCACTCACTCACTCACTCACTCAGCAGTAGAAACCCGATTTCGGCTCCAGGGCTGGGTCTCCTGCACAGTAGGAAATAGGCTAGTTCAGTGATCTGCCTGGAGAAGCTGAGTCCTGCCTCCTCCCCTGCTGCGGTGGTGAGAGCAGTATAATGCGTCACAAATGCAGTTGTTGGCATACGTTGTTCTCCATGGTCATTTAGAAAGAAGTCTATAAAGGAAAAAGATTTCAATAACACCATCTCATGTAAATGGAGCTAGATTATAGACTGCCAGTTCAGTTCTCAATAGAAGGTAAAATGAGGCTATTAATCAAAATCAGTGTTCTCTACTGCACTCTTAGTTTCCAGAAACTGATTAGTCCCATTAACTGGATCTGTGAGAGGAACCTGGTACGGGAAGTCCTAACTGCTTTTAGATTTGATTCTGAGATTAACCCGGCACGTCCAAGTTATTGTAGTTTATGGTGTCTCCCCGTAAATACCCTTTCCAGGGATTCTGTCACTTTAATACTACCCTGATGGTTTCCAGAACAGAGTTTTCTGAGTGCGTATCTGATTTCCTCTCCCAAAACTTAACTCAGTGGGGAGGAGGAAAATCTGCAGAGTCCATGCAGTCTTCCATTTAGCCCAAGCATTTTGGGTCATCATATAAGCAACAGTAGGTCAAAGAGTGATAGCATATACTCTGCCAAAAATATGAACTGACCACTTAGGTTACATGGTGGGTTCTGACTTAGTTCAGCAGAGTCCAGTTGTTGTAGTGCCTGGATAAAAAGTAGCCAAGAAACAGCTCTTTTGGATTGGTGCCTTAGCGAGGGAAGGAGGGAGCTTGAGGCGATAGACGAATTCATCTGTCTTTGGTGCTCAAAGAAGGGTCAAGTCTGCATGTCGCCGTCCCTTCCACTCTTGTTGTGGACCCACACCTAGATCCAGAACGCTTATGGTCTCACAGTCTTGGAATTAACATTTAAGGGCCTTCAGGGCTTCATCTGGAAAAATGTCGAGAAAATGGTTACCGTAGTTTTAGCAGAAAGTCCTCTTACAAATAATCTTGCATTGCGTTGTAAACATGTTTTAGGAATAACCATTGAGGCAGCTGCTTCATGACTCAGTTTTTCTCTGGAATCTGCTCTCAAGCTTGTGGAGTAGAATATTGAGCCTCGGGAACTGCAGTCCCCAAATTAATGGCAGTGTCGTTGAGTGCACTTCCCAGTTCACGATCCTGCAGAGGCCCCGGGGGCCCTCCGACTGGGACCCTCCTTGCCAAGGCACAGTGTCGGTAGTGAACGGGAAAGATAGGATGTGCACACACAGGCATTGGGCGCAGACGTCCATCTCCTTTTCCATGAATCCCTGGAACATCCTCGCTGGTCCCATGTTTCTCCACCCAGACCGCATTTCTCAGACTGCTTCCTATAAGCAGAAGTGTCTCGGGAATCCTTTTGCAGTCTAATTTGGACAGTCCAGATGCAGTCACTTTATACTGGACGTGTCTCTAAACCCAGAAACTGCGTGTGCTTCTTTCACCCTTTTAAAGGGAGACACTCTGCATGGGAGGACGGGGGTACACAGAGCCTCGGTTCTCAGGATCCCCTGGAATTCTGTCCTCAGATTGCCCAGTGACTTCTTGACTGGGGCAGCTGCGCTGTCCTGGTGGCTTTAGGAATTATGAGGGCATCTCCGTGGCAGCTATTTTGAGGGGAAAAAAGTGTTCAGAGCATCCCTCTTTTGGTAACCTTTGACAACTTGAAATACCTTTAAGCTCTATGTGGTTTGACAGTAAAATCTAGTCATGGAAACAGATTGTATGTTTCTCGTAGGATCATGTTAGCAACAGCCCTTTATGTTTAAGACTTCAGGGCTTTACAACGGACCTCTGTAAGATTTTGGGCCTCATGGCTGTGTGGGGTTCATCTCACGGTAGATTGGAAGCTACTGGAAATCAGTTGCCTTTTTTCCAGACACTAATGTTGGTACAAGTGAAATTAAATTACGTGGTCTAGATCAAGTAATTCTCTGCGCGTACATTACTTTATTAAACTGATCAGAAAGCAAATGCAGGATATTAAATAATAATGATTTCTTACACAAACAGCCATCAGTGGCCTATGCACACACCACGCCGGGCCTACCTTCAGGCTGGGAAGAAAGAAAAGATGCTAAGGGACGCACATACTATGTCAATCATAACAATCGAACCACAACTTGGACTCGACCTATCATGCAGGTACGCAGATCACCCTACAACTTAAAATCACAGGCCGTAGAAGCCAAAGTGTACATGAGCTCGCTGTTCCCGGTGTGAATAGAACCCATGTTTAAGAAAACTTTTCTCACAAAGAAAACATGTGACTCTCAAGTCTAATACTTGCCTGAGGAAGCATTCGGTCCTCCAGTCAGTCCATCCCTAGATGCGGTTTTAAAGTGGGACATGAAAGATACTGTCGGAGTGCCTGTCACAGTGTGTAGCTTCTCTCCCAGCCCCCTTTATTCCCAAGGCTGGTTTTTATGCTGGGCTTAGTGATTCATTTCTATTTCCTTTGAATGTGTTCCTCCATCCTTGCCCCCATTATTATGTTTACTCATTTCCTCCACGCCCGAAATAGGCCAGACCTCTTATTAGTGCTGGCTGCGTTGTTGTTTGGGTCCGTGCTCCTAATCACATGCACAGGGGGATTCTCCCGTGAAGCTAACTTGTTTTTGCCTCCAAAATAGCTCGCCGAAGACGGTGCGTCCGGATCCGCCACAAACAGTAACAACCACCTAATCGAGCCTCAGATCCGCCGGCCCCGTAGCCTCAGCTCGCCGACTGTAACCTTGTCTGCCCCACTGGAGGTGAGAAGGCTGCCTCACCCTCTAACCGGGTCGCTCTCTCCCGGGACTTATCATTCTCCTTGCTCATCTCACTTGGGTTTCAGTTTCGCAGCCCCCATCCTCTCTGATCAGTCGTGGTGTCCGTGGTGCAGGGCGCGCTCATGCAGTCTTCCCTCATCCTTACTTCATGCTTCTCTGTGCCGCCCGGCCAACCCCCGTGGCCTCCCACCTGAGTCCCATTCTCATTCGGCTGCCGCCACAGGTCCTTGTGCTGGAAGGGGACACCTCTCTTCCGAACTTTCTCCACTCTCGTTGTGTTTCGCTCTTGACTGCATAAATAACTCTCTCAAACACCAGTGCTTACATTGCCTTTTAAAACAGCTGTTGCTTTGATCTTTTTTTTTTTCCCTCGACTGTAGAGCCTGTCATTGTATGGGCACACTCACATCTCGAAGCCATTGTGGGGCATCTGCTTGTGCACTCTCCTGTTTGTGTTGGTGCCATCCCTTCACATCACAAATGTCTGAGTTAGAGAAGCCAGAGAGCGAATGTTTGAAATTCTGAACTTGACCGTGTCTTAGAGCTAGCCGCGGGCCCGATCCCGGGGCTCCTGGTGCTGATGACCGGGAGTGGCTGTGATCGCTTCCGAACTGGGATGTGAATGCCATGGGTAGCAGCCGTGCTAGTCCCTGGGTACAGGGTTTTCTTTCTGTGCTCTCAAAATTGCCAACCCCTTCTTCATTAGACTGTGAGCTCATTAAGAGCAGGGGCGTGTGTTCCTCCACCCTCTGTAAAATACCATCTATCATGTTCAGTACAGAACAGTGTTTTGGGTGTGTACTGAATAGCTATCCACGGACCCTGGTTATAAGTACTTGATATGTTCATGTGTTTAACCAGCCGAAAAACTTTGAAAGTTAGATCGGTTGCAAAGTAAATGGATGACAGAAACAGGTTTCAGGAGCCTCTCTCCCTTGTGCCTCTCCAAAGAGGAGCGTTCCTTGTGTACCCAGGTTCATTTTGATACCTCCACAATAGCACCTGCTAAGCGTTCTAATGCTCGTTGTTACTCCTTAGGGTGCCAAGGACTCGCCCATACGCCGGGCTGTGAAAGATACTCTTTCCAACCCACAGTCCCCACAGCCGTCACCTTACAACTCCCCCAAACCACAACACAAAGTCACACAGAGCTTCCTGCCGCCTGGCTGGGAAATGAGGATAGCACCCAACGGTCGGCCCTTCTTCATTGACCATAACACAAAGACTACGACGTGGGTAAGGCTGCCGCTTTTATTTGGTTCCATTTTTGTCACGAGGTCTGCCATTGATTCCTGCATTTCCTTACTCAGGAGCCCTGGTTCTTGGAGGGGGATTTCCCTGACCCCAAAGCATGGCCCCAAGGGGGCCTTCTCAGTCTACATCTGGACTCTGCACATGTGGGCCAGTTGGGGGGGGTGGTCCACGGGGAGGGGGCTTCTGGGCGCAGGCTTGTGGCTGCCTGTGGGATTGGTGCCAGGCTAGGCATCTTTCCTTCATAGGACTCCTGGAAAGCTCTAGTCCTGACACTACCATACTGGGGAGAAAGCTGTCGTGCTCCCCAGGGCGCCAGGAATTTGATGTCGCGGCTTCATTTCCCATGATGCTGTAATTTTATTAGGAGCTCTAATCTTTTTTTAATCATTTCTTCTCATCAGTTTCTTTCTGCATTTCTATTGACATGATCACCTTGATTGGATGTGTCCTGTCAGTCTTCGTGGTTCACGTCAGATTCGTGTTTTATACTCCTGTGCTCTGTCTCGTTCCTTTGTTGGGGGTCAAGAGATGCACTGAGGACTTTGGTTGTAAATTTGATGGCTCTTTTTGGTGAACGTTTTGTCAAAATTGGTTTTTCTGATCATGTCACTCTCCCATGTGCCCTTGAATCCTGCAGGAGAGAGAATGTGTTGTATTAACGAACACGATGAGATGAATCAGAGGTGCGTGTGCATATCTCTGTGTGCCTCAGTCCATCCTTCATTCCTTCAGCTGACTTCATGGTGTCTTATTTAACATAGCCTGTAGTTCTTCTTTAGAAGTCAGTGGTATATTTCTACTGTGTTGATCTCTAGACCTGTGATTAAACCAAACTTGGTGTTCTTGTTTCTGTTTCTGATGCTACAGGAGGTTTTGCTCTTCTTCCTGTTCCTTGTAATTCCCTGCGTAATTCTCCGGGTACGGAGCGTAGCTCTGTCCTCTGTCATCTGTGCTGCTTGCTTAGAACGGACGGTGTGTGAAAGCTGGTTGAGTTTGGGTGATGGTCGCTGGCCCAGCCATGCAATCTTAGGCTACCAGTGAGCACGTGCTTTAAATTCCCATTTCTAGTGAAGACCCCCAAGTGTGTACAGTTGATAGAATAGTAGTACTGGGTCAGGAAAGAGGCCTGCACCAAAGTGGCCTAGATTGCTGCTCACACTTTGCCCATGGTGAATGTTCACTGAGTCCCTAAAGGGCTCACTCTCTAAAATCTCTAAAATCCAGTGGATCGTGAAGCGGCATGTCTCCACGAGAACATTCTCTGCATTTGGGGTAGGACCATGCCTTTCTCCACCAAAGGCTAATAGCCACCATTCCCCGCGCGCGCACGCCCCCCCCACCCCCTCGCCACAGGGATAACCAAAAATGCCCCCACACAGCCTAAACACTCCTTATTGAGAACCACTCTAAAAGTTCTTCCTCTTCAGAGGTAAGGGGGTAGCCTGCCAGGGGAATTCATTTTTGAGATCTGGTGACATTGCATTTAGCAACCTCATAACTGCTGCTAAGGCACGTGCTAGTATGTTGCTTTATTCGACGTGCCTTTTTGCCTGAAGATAGTATTACAGGACTGTGGACAAGTTGAGAATGAAAGATAGGCAGCTCTTTGGAAAAGACAGTCCTAGAGATTGGTTTTTAGGTCTTTTTTTCCTCATGGCTGTGGAGCCTGGGGCTGTCCTGCTGTGCTTTCCTGCCCTGAGCCAGAAATGGGAGCTCCAGAAATAGGGTAACTGTTGTCAGAGGGGATGGATTAGCCTACGGAGCCACTGCGGCTTGTCCGCATAAGCTGTGATTGGAGTCATTTGAACCAGCTTAGCAGTCAGGTCTCCTAACCTTTTCGCCGTCGTTCAGGCCACAAGTGCAGTGTAAATACAGCTGGGCAGGTTTTACTTTAAACCGCACCAGCTTTATTTATTCCCTGCGTCGTTGCTGAATGAAACCCAGTTTGAATTTCCAGTTGCCCCTTTCCACCCAGATCCTTGCTGTTGACTCGTATGCTCATTTAACATTTTAATGTGTTAAACCGGTATTGTGTTGCTGCTGTTGAAAACCCTTAAGGTAACAACTGGAAATTCCACCAGTGACTACGCTTCCTTGCTCAGCTCAGATGTGCTGGGCCAGCTACGTCACCCCTTCTAGACAGGGGCCTCTACAGAATGCTCTCCGTGGAAGGCACGCTCGAAAGGGCCTCTTTATTTCGATAAAGGGTGGAGGGAAGGTAAAGACCATTTTCAGTTTAGAATGTGTTTGGAGCTGGTATGGGGTTCCCTCTGGGGTGTGTGTGTGTGTGTGTGTGTGTGTGTGTGTGTGTGTGTTTTAAAGCGAACAGCTATTCTTAGAATGTGAGCTTTATAATGGAAACAGGAAGAGAAACTGGTAGGACAGGTTGAGAATAATGAAAACACTCATCCTGCCTCTGTCAGTGTGTATGCTCTTGCTTCCTACATTTAGCCAGCAGCATGAAAAGATACGGGCCGGCAGTTCCCTTATATACACTGATAGGAGCCTATTCCCTTTGAAGTCTATTTATAACACAGAGCCTTTCGCACACCCGAGTACTGCACGAAGTGTGCCAGCACTCTATCCAGGATAAAGTCAGACCACATCCAGGGAGCATCAGCCTGTCCCCACCTGGGTCAGCAGGGCCAAGGAAGCGTGCTGGAGGCCTCCACGTGCCTGAGGGCAGATTACGAGAGGCCTTTGGGTTGCCCGTTTTTCCTGCTAAGGAAGCAGCCGGAAGCGTATATGTAAGAGTGTATTTATATCTTCTCCAGGACAAAGCATTGGCTTCTTTTTGTAGCAAGAAAGACTATACCTTCATTAAGTGGCAGATTTGTTTTCTACCCAGGTCCAAACTAATAAAACTCTTGTAGCCGAGGCATGGTTGTTGACTTCTTCCAGGAAGGAAAAACCACAGCTGTTTCTTTGAACCAGCCAGCATTCCTGTATTTTACATATTTCTAAAACTCTGCTAGGAAACTTTTTTTTTTTTAAGATGTTCAGCTTTGCCTTCTGTTCAAAAATTCTTCCAACCATATTGAGGGAAGCAGTTGTGAAATGGTGCAAAAATGTGCTCGTGGTGCTTGAGGACAGGGAGAAACTCCCACATGGGTTTTGCATATTTTGTTCATTTATATTCATGTTAATTTCTGTCGTTTGAAACATCATTAGTATTTCCGCTTATTGTCATCCTGAACGTTGTCATGAGTCTTGTGGGGCTGCCTTCACCTGCTCCACCAGCTGGGGCGGGGGGGGGTCCCTGCCACCTCGATAGTTCAGGAGACTCACTGTGGGGGTGGGCTCAGTAGTGCCCTCTCGGTTGACTGCCATTATTTTGACTTCTGATGGTATAATAAAATAATAGGACCCCAAGGGCCTCCAGCCCTCTCACATTCTACGAATTCCAGGGTTCCATGCCAGGCCATTTTAGCAGATCTGAAAAATTGAGTTTTCTACTTCATGCTCCTCGTCCCCACATGCTGGCACTTCTCTGTAACTTCAGCTGCTGCTTTTCTGTGTGTGTTCTTGAAATCACCAGCTTTTTACTGATTGTCTTTCGCAGTAGCCCATGCATATGATTCCACGGCTGGTCTTGCATGCAGCATCCGGAAGCTAGCATGGTCAATGGCTGGGAGGGGGGTACCCGGGGGGCCCTGTGGTTGTGGCATCACCAGGTCCAGCTCAGAGCTAGCTCTCAGTGGGGTGCTCCCAAGTTTTTCCTCTGTCCACAACCAACCTGTCACAAATACTTACCCAATTATCAGCTTATTGGACCTTATAAATCCAAAATCTTAGTGGGTCCATTTACTGCACTGTTTGTGTTCCAGTATACGACAGAATACTGGACCTATTTTATTCCTCTCATTACCCTTCAAAAAGGATATCAGTAAGGTTCAGGGTCAATATCTATCATAAACTGCTCACACAATTTATTTCTTCCATTAATGGTTTGCTCTAGTTAACAGAAAGCCAAGGTTGATTTTATTTTTTGATTTTGGAGGGTTTTTTTGTAGTCATTGCCAGTTCCAAAAATCTGTCATTTTGTTATAATCCAGTGATACTAACAGCTTACACTGTTGACTTGGGAAATTTTTTTAACAGCTTTCTTGGAGTATAACTCACATGTCCTACAGTTCACCTGTTTAAGATACACGAGTGGTTTTTAGACCATTAAATAAACATGTTGCAACCATCACTAATCAGTTTGAGAGCATTTTCATACCTATTAGCTGTCACAAAGTGAGTTTTATTATTGTCCAAGGTTTGTACCAATTATTTCTTTTTTTTGTTGCCTTGGGAAAATGGTGAGGCAGAAAACCTTTTAGTGATCTGACAGCAGCAAAGTCTTTCATGTAATTGAAATAAAGTGTTTTGTTTTTTTTTTTAATCTTTGGCTTCTTATTTGGTTGACAATGTGCTTTTCTGAGTTTTATCATTTGTTTCCTAATCTTTTGAGTTTAAAATGAGATTTCTCTAAGTTCCATTGCATTTTTGTTGGGTCTGTGTATGTGAGAGGGCACTCCCAGGTGCTCCCAGACTCTGGGTGAGAGCTCTCGGGCAAGTTCTTGTGGTCTCGGCAGCTCAGTGTCCTCATCTAAAGAAGCAGAGATCGTGTGCACAGCCTCCTAACAGGGCCGTTGCAAGATGAGACATCTGCCTCTTCTTTGTCAATTGTAAAGCATGACCCAAGATGCCACAGCACGTATTTCCTTTTGTTGGTTCTTTGTAGTATCTTGTGAGCCATACCCCTTAAGAGAAGTCCTTGGCAAACTTCTAAGTATTGAGACATAAATGAGAATCTCATTTGCAGAACTTGATCAGGAATCTCAGTAAAGTCCTCTAGTGAGGGGTAGGAGACGTTATGTGACCAGGCCACCGAACTCTGGCCGGGACACACTTGACCCTCAGATCAGATTCACATCCTCTCCTGGAGATCAGGGAGTGGAAGGGCACAGCAGGAAGCTCAGGCCCTATGGAATGGCTGGCTGCCCTCACCCCACAGCTCAGTAGCCAAGAGAGACTTACGAACCATCCTCCCCACCCCTCTGCAAAACAGAGCCTCATCTTCTCCGGCAAACCACCATTCTGGTTTCCATAGTAACTTCCCTGCTGGGACTCTCTTCCTCTTCACCTGCTAGAGGTCTCGTGGAAAACACTTCACCTGTTATTTAAAGCTGTTCTGCCTTCACCAAAGACAAGGAGAAGAGTAAAATCTTGCTTGAGAGCTGGTCGGCCAGCCTTCCTGTACAAAGAGAGGTCCTCCCCTCCCCCCCCCCCCCCCCTCGTGCAGGCCGGCGTGCGGCTTGGACTGCGATGCTCCGGAAGGGGAGGAGCCAATGACGTCACATACAGAGTCACTCTTAATGTCCTCTGCCTTCTACGTTTTCTTGCAGGAAGATCCACGCCTGAAATTTCCAGTGCATATGCGGTCAAAGGCATCTTTAAACCCCAATGACCTCGGCCCTCTTCCTGTGAGTACACTGCAGATGCAGGGACAAGTCTGAAAATGTTTATCCATTCATCTGCCCTGTGTGGAGGGAGATACCCTGTGGGCCTTCTCTTTCTCCAGGCTATTTTGGATCCCGTTGGTCTGTAATCTCTTCATAGAATTAGGTGCATGGCTGAATTCTAATAGTACATACAGCGGATGCCCCATACTTGGGAAAGAGGTTTCTGAGTTGTTTGCGGCTAGAAGGTAGACCTTGTAACTAGGATGTAAGAGGCATTCTCCACATGTGATAGGTTAGGCAGCACGCATTTGTTTTGTAACTTTGCAACCACTGGGTTCCATCCATATTGCTAATTAAGTCACTGGAACAGAAATATTAAAAACAGTGGGAGAAAAAGGCCGAAGTGATCACAGGTGGTTTCTGTAAGTCATTAGCCTGCAGATATTTTAAGTTTTTTGCCCTTGTTGAGTACTATTTATAAAATTTAATTTTTCATCGGTTTATTCTCTTTGGGGAGTTGAACTCTATTTACTCCATATTAGATTTTGAATGAAACTTTCACCATACATCCTTCTCAGCCGCCTCCCCCCAAATCAAACAGCCTTACAAGGGCAGGAAGGTAGGGAGATTCAAGACTCTTGTAGAATGGAAGGGTGCCTGGAGTTCTTCTGAGGGGATTTTCTAAACTCAAGAACCCCTCTGTTGCCTGGTGTGTGTGGTATGTGATCGCACAACTTGAATCTAGGAAGGTTAGGGTTCAGTCTTCATTCGTCAGGTTTTACACAAATATCCCTCCCTCTCCAGAACTGTTTGGTTCCTAGGTTGAGATGGAAAGAGCCCAGAGAGTGCCAGAGACCGAGATTAGACGTGAAAGATCACGGGCTGTCCTCATGTGTTGGATTCCTGAGTTTCAGATAGCAAGTAGGCACCGTTCATATAATGAGGGCATACCAGCTTTACGTTGGGAAAAAAAAATACCCAAATCCTTCTATTCTCTGAGTCCAAAGAGTGAGAGCCCACACCAGAGAATCTCAGGGTTGGGTCTTTCAGCCACGTGGTGGCAGGACTAAAGCATCTGTCTCTTGACATTTTTAAATTAACCTCCCTCCTCCCTTCAGTACTTGGTAAATATTTAATTAAATGAGCTATTCAGTCCTAAACTCAACTATTCCATGGAATGCTGGAGTTGCCCTTTGAAGCTTTTGAAGTAGCAAGCCCTGCTTCCTGTTCATCACACAGTGAGTGAAGGCTCCTAAGGCTGGCGAACATGTGATACAGTGTGTTGCTAGATGTTGTCATTAACTTGAAATGTTTGTGGCTTGTTCTTAATGTAACAGTGTACCCTAAAAGAGTCAAAAAGTGTCCTTAGAGTGTTTAAATTTAGCCATATTTTTATTTTTTTTGCAACTGTTAGCTAATGTTTGTATTCTCTCTCTCTTCTTCTTCTAATACCAGCCTGGTTGGGAAGAAAGAATTCACTTGGATGGCCGAACGTTCTATATTGACCATAGTAAGTAGGTTTTTTTTATAGACACGCAGGCATTGCAGGTAAAGGGATGGGGGGGACAGGGAATCATTCAAATATTATAGTGAAAGCTTTGTCATTTTACTCTTTGTCCAGGCAGCCAGGTGTTATGTGGAGAGCATGAGGCCAGAGAATCAGTGCCCTCGTACGGTACTGTGCATTCATCCCAAGTTTGCTTGAAAGGAGCCCACCAAGCTTTTACCCGATTTGATCTTGTGACCTATTAACTTTTTTCCCCCTTCATTAAAAAAATTTTTTGGGTCAATAACCCCTTGATTTCTGCGCTTTTAATAAATACACTGTAGTAATAGAAAATAAGGTTAGAAGTTATAATTGAGTCAAAAATCTATGTGTGAGCAGTGCTTTGAAGCAGCATGTTAAGCACTGCCGTCAAGGGTCTTATGGCAAGAAGCCCGTTCTGACTTATTTTCTATTCATAGCATGTGTCTTTGCACCCGGCACGCTAATCTATATGGAGTTTGTGTCTTGAAATTACAGTATAGTTGCTCCAGCACCTATGAATAAATGTGTGGTTTCTCATTTCAACTAAAAGTTAAACTGATAAAGGTATTGCTTTTAGCTAGGGTTTTTTTTTTTTTTTTAAGGCAACATGTTCTCCATGGGAACATATTCGTATATCCCTTAGAACTTCTGAAAAATGTATATTTAAAAGAAGTTTGCAAGTGTGTGCAATTGGTAGTATTTTGTTCTTTGTTTTCATTTGGTTCCTAAAGATTAGCAAGTCTGCCACAGGTTTCTCCAGCCTTACATTCTCTTAACTAATCAAAAGTCCACCGATGAGCCAATTGTGGGGAGAATGGGCTACGCTTTGGTTTAAATTTGGTGATTCACGGTACTTAGGTTTAGTTTTGTCTTTGACCAGTAAAACTACTAAGGGTTTGCCTGCTGTCCAGAATTTTACAGTGAGCCTAAAATTGCTACCATAAATGCTATAAAATGTGTGTACCCCCACTTTTTTCTCTGATATGCTATTTGTAATTCTCATAGCATAATTTGTTGAAGGGGGCACACACCTTTTTCCCACCAAGAACAAAAAACAATTCCTCTTTTAGTTTTTATGCTTTACAATTTCAGTTTTCAAAGGTAGATACGAATAATAATGATCTTTTTCTTAAAACAAGGTCTTAACCAGTAACACAGCCTTGGTCTGCTACACACAGAATATTTCACACAGCATTGTGGCCATGTTCTGGCTGGTGATCTGATGTTGGGTCGGCCTGAAAAGAATTTCATGAATGTTCTTAATGGAAGGGTCCCAAAACAAGAAAAACTCTATCGCCAATAAAGTCCATCCCGGTGTATGTTAGAAATAATAAAGATCATAGATTATTTTTCTCGTGGTGTGCGTACACCTAGTATAATATAGAGTAGATGTTTGATAAACGGTGACTTGAAGTTAATTTGTGGAGGGTCAGTGGTGAAGGCATGAGGAAGGTCATGTCCTTGGTTGGAAAGTGGAGAGAACTCGTCTTGGAGAAGCAGCAACGATGCCCACCCCAGGCTTTCCCTGCTTCTGTTCGTTGGGAGGCAGGAGACGTGTTAGTTTTGCTAAATGGGCTGTTCCTTATTCAAGCCACCAGTCCCTCCAAGTGCTCAGCTCACTCCCTTCCCACTCCTCTTGCCAGAACGGATAGCTTAAAGACGTCATGTCAGAAGAGATCAGGTATTGACATTGATCAAATAGCTCCTGTCTCGACCCTGGAGTAAAAGGTTAAGGGAAGATCTTGAACTGAATCGCTACCTCTCTTGGGGGTCATGTGGTGCTTCTTAAAGACCAGGTATGCCCCTCAGCTGTGAGTCAGTGGCCACGGGTGTCTCAGATCAATGCTAGAAGAGAAAAAATTCCAGTGAGGCTGTAAAATGCTATTTTTGTCTTTCTTGCCAGCAGTCTTACCAAACCTGTTAAAGTAGCTAAATTAACTTGAGTTTTTCATTCTTCTCCTTCATTCTTGTCCCTTTATTTCAAATACAATGTCTGAGGACAAAAAACAAGTTTAGATTCAGAAGTTCTGGAAAAAGTGAGTAAATGGCCACTACACATTCATATCCTGTATTGACAATACTTAGCTGTAAAAATCGATCTGCACTGTAACCACATAGAGACTTGGGAGCCCCAGGAGGTATTTGCAGTGTTGGGTAGAGGAATGAACCAGCTTTGAAGAAGCAGAACAGGTGAGGACCACACTTGCTCGCCACGTGGCCGGGTGCCAGGGCTGGGGGCTGCCTGCAAAAGGACCTTAGGAACAGATTACTTTTCGGATGGATCCCAAGTGATAAGACACATTTATGCAGGAAAGCCCGAGGAGCGCAACCCCAGGAGGGAGAAAACATACAGATGTATGAAGGTGTGTGGACTGGGCCACAGTCTGTGACCTGTGGTGGGGCTGCAAATGGCCAGGGCACAGAGGAGGCACATAGGTCAAAGGGCGTCCGCCAGGGGTGGAAACTCGAGTCTGTCTCTTCTGCAGGCAGTAGGGAGGTCCTGAAGGTTTTTCTGGAGGGGCCTGACCGGTCAGATTTGTTCTTTAGAAAGATCCCTGTGGCAGAACTGCAAAGGAAGGCTTGAACTGGGATGAGTGAGCCCGAGGCCAGGGAAAGAGAGGGCACAGTCCATGGAAGCGATGCACCCTCCTGAAAGCAGCTTTCTCAGTGAGACGGGGAACAGAATGGCGGGAGCCAGAGGAGAATGGCTAGGGAGGATGGGGTGTAGCCAGTGCTGGGTTTGAACAGTGAATGCGCTATGACACGGGCATTTGGGAGTAAAGGAACACAGGAACGGGTTTTGTTCCTGAAAGATTATGGGTTTGGTTTTGGTAAGAGTTGGATTTGAGGTCACCATGGGAAATGTGGTTGCACGTGTCAAGGGTGGAACTGGACAGACTATGTGGGAGACGCCATGCGAAGGTAGTCATTAATTTACTTCTGCTTTGATGGTATCCAGGTGATAGGACTGTACTCCGGGGAGCTGTCACTCAGCTGTACTCTCTTTATTTGGTTTTCTTTTATTCTCCATCACAATGGCAACTTTTACTTTCCACATTTCTTATGCATGAGGTAAGGGGCCCAAAATGCCTTTTACTTCCATCACAGTTCTCTAAAACCATCGAAACATCTCACGTACATTACCTGCCAACGTGAATCTAGAATCATGTGCTTCAGCTGTTGGATTTTAAAACTTGACCTCTACTTTCATTAAAATAATTAAAATACCAGATTTGGAAAAATTCCTGGTATGGTCATTAAAACCAAATTTAATGGTTATTCTTATCAATCTATTTACAGAGTACATAGGAAATAAGCAGAATGAATATTCTTAATTTCCCTTTTTTTTACCAACTTAGATTCCCTAAAACTCCAGAGAGAACCCATTCTCCCCCAGTCAGCCCTCTGCATACCCTCTCACGCAAATCCATCACTGCCTCCTACACACACAGGAATCCCCGTGCACAGTCAGAAAACCCACGTGATTCAGGGTGCCCATGGCACCGTACCACCTACACCACTGGAGTAATTGTATAGGCGGCGTTGAACATTCTTGCTGACATGGACACATTTAGAAGAAAGAACACACTTCTCGCCAGCTTGACCAAAAGGGAGACCTTTCTCTGTCCTCTTTGCTCTATCTAATGCTCATTTTTTGGGACTCCTTAGCAGCTCTGATTTTTGCGTGCATATGAGTGACACGTATAATGGATTATTCTTTTGTCCAGTGTACGATTCTTAGTTGAAAACAGTTTTTCAATGCCATAAGCAAAGAAAAAAGTATTTGAAATGAGAAAAATTGTGTGTGTGTGTGTGTGTGTGTGTTAACTTTTTAAGGACTAAGACTTGTTATGCCTTTTTTCAGTTAAAGGAAAATCAAGATGAAATTATAAATCCTTGAAAGAACAGGGGTTTATAATTGAAATTTTGGCAGATTTTCTTGCCAAAAACAGTGTGAATAGATGGTTTGGCTTTAGTCTTGCATTTTTGATTGAGTGTTTTTAACTAAACAGTATGGGCAGGGGGGCTGGCATATAGAATAGGGTGCTCTTCTAACCCTGCAGTACTGAGTTATCTATTTTGGGGGACAGCTTTTGAAAAAAAATCCAGAAATAATTCTTTTGAAAACATTTTTGACACAGAATAGATTTGAACTAATATGCTGATTTTTTTTTTTAAAACATTAATTTTCAGATAGCAAAATTACTCAGTGGGAAGACCCAAGACTGCAGAATCCAGCTATTACTGGTCCGGTCAGTATTCTCAAGTTTTAACTCTTCAGTGTAATATTTGGCTTGCATCTAAACATGTATTTCTTGAGTATTACTGCTTACCCGGTGCCAGGGGCCTGGTGTGGTTGGCTAGTTTAGAATCGCCCCCATCTCTTCCTCACTGGAGTTCCTGGGTGGGATACAACTGCATTTGCCTTTTTGAAGGGCTTTCGCTGTAAAGGAAAAGAAAGTGCTTTGTTAATGGTAACAAACTAAACATTTCCTTTTCTCCTTTGTAAAAAGGTGGATTAAAGGTAAAACAATCAAAATGTCCTCTCTTCCTTTTTATACCAAGCCAAGCCCTGTATCTGTAGCATTTTGTCATTTCTTTTGGCCAAGAGTGGTAAATGCATGCTAACAAATTTAAGCTGTATTCTGACTCTCTTCCAGCGTGGAACGTCTGGAAAAGTTTGGGGGAGGTTGTAGCCAACCTCTGGAGCTGGCAGAGTTAAGAACTTTTGTCTCTGTTGACCCACTAACTTCCTCGCAGTCCCCACGTATACGCCGGGTGCAAAAGGAAGCTAGGTAGAGCACCCTCTTAAAATACTGCCGCACGCTGTGTTCATAAGGACTTGGTCCCGAATACCGCATGGGTCACAGTCATCGGCAGGGAATGTACCAGCCTCTCTGGTCAGTGTTTATATGAGTGTGGGGAGCTAATTTGGAATTACAAGAAACATATGGCATCAGCAAAGCATTGCAAACTTGGGAATCTGCTAAAAACTGGAGGAGCAAAAGGAAATAAAGCATATTGAATGCTGAGCTAAGAGGCCCTTAGGTATTTTTATAATACTGCTTTTGTGGCTTTAATCTGATTCCGTTCAAATTAGGTTTTGAATTACAAAGGTAAGTCTGTTTGAAAACTTAAAAGGTAATACCATGAAAACCTACCTTGATACTTGACATCCCCTTAGTTAATTTGTTGGATTTGTTTATTGGCTTTGTTCAGCTGCTTTGCTACTGTGTAACACAAAGTGCCCAATCATACCTCAGTTAAAACAGCTGCTTTTTATGTGACTTCAACACCTGCCTTATTACCATGGCTTCCTTTTGATATATTCACAGTCACGATAAGGTGTTAAGAGTCCTGTTTTCTCTTCTACATCATGGGAAACGTATTCGGGAATCAAGGCTGTTTTCAAGTGACAGAGGACTTTTGACATAATTCTGAAACCTTTTGAAATATCTCTATCACTTATTGATCATCTGCCTTCACTCAAACACTGTTAGTTCTTTTTGCTATTGAAAATTGTTTAGCATCATAAATCCAAGTAAATTTGACCCAAAGAAAGATTTTTTTTTTTTTTTTTTTTTTACTAACGAAAGAGCCTTGTTTACTCTTTCCTTAGTAGGATACTTCTTTCAGGAAGAGCATGTGTATTTAGGTAATTATCCACTTAATGTAGACAGCTGGCTTTTGTTGTCATTCAGTTCTGAATATTTGGTAATTTCCATGATTTCTTTCTCTCCTCGACTTATAAGTTATTTAGAATGTGCTTTTCGTTTCTAAGAGTATGGAAGGGTTTTTGCCTATCCATTTCTTACTAATTTTCTAATTTTACTGCTTTGTGGTCAGAGAATATTATCTATGGAATATTGATTACCAGATATTTGAAACTTCCTTGGCAGCTTGGCCATTTTTTATAAATGTTCCTTTTGTGTTTGAAAAGAATGTGTATTCTGTCTTTGTTGGGTATAGAGTTCTTTATATGTCCATTAAATCAAGCATATGGTGTTCAAATTACTCATTTCCATCACTGCTTTTTTTTCCTGGCTGTTCTGTCTACCCAAGACAGTAGTGTCAGACTCTCTGATGGCAAGCATGGCTTTATCAGTCAAGTTACATTCACTTTTTCTTCTTAGTATTTGCCTGGTATGTCTTTTCTCCCACTCAATTAGCTGTATTTTTTCTCTTTTATTACCTTCTATTAGATTGATAAAGTGCCCTTTATTTTCTTTCATTTTCTATATTTGCTTGGAAGTTGTATTTTCTATTTCTGTGCTTACATTAACATTTTTAACCAACGTACTTCATGACAAAATTAATTGCCCTCTACTCTGCTCCTGAGCAAAATGGGACTTGAGGGAACTCTCATGCCATTCTTCCCACTTACTTTCCATTGTTCAGCAACATTTTAAAACTTTCCAAACAGCCATTGATATTTTATCTTTGTTCTCAATGGCCAGTGCTTATTTCCTTCCCTCATATGTAGGCAGATTTCTTTGCCCACCATTGGTTCTTACACCTGCTGTTTCCAGGTTATCTTCTGAATGAAGTATGGTTCCAGATTCTCAGAGTCTACAGATCGGCAGCATCAGAATCGTCTGGAAACTTGTTAAGAAATGCAAATCTGGGAGTCCCAAGCCAGGCCTACTGAAAATCAGTAACGTTGGGGGTGGGCCCAGCAGTCTGTTTGGACACACCCCCCTAGGGGTGGTGATACCCCCTGGAGCAGCACTGTCTGAGAGTGGGAAGCTCTTTAGTCTGAGGGAGAAGGCTTTTCTGACCTCTCCGTTAAATGACAGTTCAGCTCTGAAGCCTTGGCTAACAGTTATTTTCCTAATACTTTGGAGATCTTGTTTCTTGTCTTCTGGCCTCCACAACTGTTGAGAAGCTTGTTGTTGATTGGCATTTTTTTGATGGGTAAATCTTCTCTCTGGCAGTTTTGAATTTTCTCTGTGACGTTGGTGTTGTATAATTTTACTCTCATGAACCTAAGTGTGGATTTCTTTATATTGATTCTGCTTTGGACTCATTGTAATTCTTCAATATAAGGACCCTGTCTTCCCTCCATTCTGGAAGATTCTTGGCAGTTAGTTCTCATACTGTATCTTTGCCATTCTTCCTGGTTATCTGTACCAGTAATTCCTCCTAGGTATGTGATTCACCTTTACCTTCTGTCTTCCTAATCTCTTAGTTTTCCAGTTTTCCATCTCTCTCTCTCACTCTCGGTCTCTCTCTCTCCCTCCCTCAATCTCTAGCTCTCTCCATTGCTGTATTATGGGCTTAGCTTCCAGCTAATTCTTTTTTAAGCTTTTTATAACCTACCCTTTACCAGTTCAGTGTGTCTGTTATTTCATTAACTGTGTTTAATTACTCATCGTTCTATTGGGTCTTTTTAAATTTGCTTGGTCTTTTCAGTTACTGTTATTCTATCATGTTCTTCCATTTTTTTATTTTCTTTTTTAATTCGTACTTAGCTCTCTAATCATTCTTAAAATGCTTATTTCATATCCTCTTTCAGATTATTCTGTTATCTCTGGCCATAGGGGCACTAAATCTCCCACATGTTGTGTCTGTAGACTCTCCTCAGTGGTAGTTCAGTTTATAATTTGTGTGTGTGCGCTCACCTTCCCCCCCGCCCCCCGCCATGAGGCATTTATAAGACCTGACCTGTATTTACCGTTAACTTCTTAGCTTGGGATCATGCAGGCCCAGTTAATATAACTGTGGACTTCATACCCAGTTTGGTGTAGGCTTAGAGTATGAATTTATCACAGGTCTGTTTCTTTTTGTTTTTCTCTCGTTTGTGGTCCTGGACAGAAGGTAAGCTTCCTTACAACTTCCCTGGGCTGGCGGGTAGTTTTCTTGTCCCCATGTCAGATGTAGGTTTTAAGCAGGGAGCTCTGCTCTTACTCCCTAGGTCATACAGACTAGTAGGCCAACTTCCATGTCCCCGTCTGTGGATTAAAACCCCAGCCCAAGCACCCAGTCTAGGTCCAATGCCCACTTCTTTAATTTTAAGTCTTGCTGCTTATCTGGAACCTCACATTTCTCTTTTTCCCCCAAGTTTTAAAAAATACCCCAGAATCAGGGAGGGGGGTCCCTTTCTGTGACCGCTCAGCGTTACTGTCAGTATGCCCTCTGTGTTACAAGCATCACCAGTGGAAGTGTTGATCCAGTGCTGTCCGTGCTTACTACTCTTATGAATACTGTCTTCATGTTCGTGTCACGCTTTGTACTTGGCCGAGAACTTTATAATCAGCTGCTTTGAAAACTCCAAGCAGTCCCCTCAGGAAGGCAGGGAAGATGTTGTTGTTCCCAATTTGTCAGAAGTTCGGAAAACTAATTGTGTCACCCTTAGTTCCAGCAAATGCCAAAAGTCAAAGTGAAGCTGCAGGTGCACTGACCTCACCCGTGTCTCCGTGTCAGACGCGAGCCGTCCTCCGTAAGGAGCTCCGGCGCCGGGTGGGCTAGAACGACCTGAAAACGTTCAGACCCGACTTCTCTAATACGTCAGCTTGTCACTTGTGCTCAGAATAGAAAACCTATTTGAGAAAGAGCAAAGGGCTTGAATCAACAGACGTGTTAAGTTCTGATGCAGGCTTTATTTTGTAAGTTCAATTGTACGTAAGAAAATAAGATGCCAAATTTTCAAGAGAGAGTCAACAATCTGGCCAGTCCAGTACAAGACATTGACCACCCTTGGAAGTGTCTTCAGAGGCTCTGCGTTATGGATGTCTTTGTCCTGCTACGCTGTTGGCTTCTGTTGAGATTGTAAAAACCTCCTTATTCCACTTCTTATTCCTAAGAACTCTCTCTAGAGAGAGAAGTAAGTATTGGAGGAGGATCAGGATTTTTCCATTTTCATGCCTCGTTCCCCAGAAGAAGAAAGACCAGAAATATCTCAGCGTTTTATTTCCACCCACATGTAATCGGCACCTCCCAGTTAAAGTCAGACAGGAGAGTAGAGAGCACAGGCTGGGGGCAACATTTTAAAATATATCCCCTCCCCATCATTTAAGACTCTTGAACTTGTATTTTAAGCCTTTCCTCAACATTTTCGGGGGAGGGGGTGGACACAAAACCAAAAAATAATAGGCTGGGAATCACAGATTTTTGGAAATGGAAGAGCCTTGAAGTGCTTCTGGTCCATTTCTTCTTAACGTGAAGAAATTCTGTCGTCTGGAGGGTCTGTCAACATGGCTGGCTGGCGCGGGAGTCTGCCTTACAAGCCAGGTCCGCTGAAGCTGGCCTGAGATAGTGAAAGGACATTGAGCTTACGTTCCCTCTGTCACAGTTCAGCGTAGCTAAGAGCATCGGCTGAACGCTTTCCTTCTCGAGATTTTACACACACTGCTTTCTAGTGATTTATTCCCTCCTGTCACTGTGGGTTCGGCTCAGATGTCCCTTCCTCAGAGCTGTCCCTGACTGCTCGTATCATAGCCTGCCGAGAGCTCTCTCTCAGCTTTTCCTCAATACATTCACCACTCTTCGTTTATTTCCTACTGCCACGTGCACACAGTAGCTTGCAAGCTCCAGGAGGGAACAAGGGAAGAAATCTTTGGTTGATGTACCATTACTTCCCTAGTACCTAAAATGCCCTGGCGCACAGTAGATGCTCAAGAAGCATCTGTTGAATGAATCAGCAGAGGAACCACCAAAGAGTGAATATGCAGGAAATCTTAGTATGTGATGGGCTGTAGTGTTAGTGGAGCCAAAAACAAGACATGGCTTATGTCAGAACATTGTATCCTTTCCCTCATTTTGGTGGTTGTCCAGATATTGGCAAAATTTCTACATTTCCTAGAATAAGGATTCATACATGGTATCATCAGACTAAACACGGCCCCAAATAAATATGATATGTGGTCAAATCTAGTGCTCAATGGAAAATCAAATGAAGAATGGCTTAAAAACTAAGAGCAGACCCGGGGTACCCATAAATTGTAGAATGTTCTTCGGATATATAAACACATTGTCTTTATTGTTCTTGAATTACAAAGCAAAACACTGACATGATTATTGTTTTCTATAAGAGTGGTTATTTTTGTTTTGGCTTATTGTTTGTGTGATTGTGTCTTAAAATAGTATGAAGGAGGGAAGCTTTTGTTCCTCACTTCTCCTCTTTCTGAAAGTATAAGGTGTTGTTAGGTTTGGAGTCTGGAGATACTTTACTAAGGATCAGTGTATTTTGTTAGCTTAGCCCAAAATGATATCAGCAGAACTGTTCTTGCCCAAATTCATACTATTTGTGAAAAAGCAACAAGTTTTTCTGAGTATGAGGCTGTCCCAGTTATGTCCATGTGTGTGCAAAAGCCAATCTTCTCTGCTTCATTAAAAAAATTAGAAGCCTTTTCAGTAGCCTGAAGTCAGGGCTCCGGCTCTCAGATATTGTAAGCTACTTTACAACATAGCAAGTTAAGAATATAAATGACTACATTAAAAGGTTATTACTTCTCTGGGAGAGATTCCAGAACTTTTGGGTAATGAAAGCTAACTCAGTTACTGAACCCACACCTTTGGTACCATCACTCTGCTTCCTAGATAAGCCATTCCAGATTTAAAGAAATCCCTGCCCAAGACTACTAACTAGTAAGAGGCAAACCTTCTGACTCCTACATCGAAGATGTTTCCAGAATGCTATCTACCTGATTGTATATTCCTTGATAAGAGTATCAGTTCACTGGCCTTGTTATTTTATTTCCTCCCCATGGTTTTTAAAAGCATGAAGAGTCTTTTCAAAATGACCACATAGGTCATTTTGGGTTTTGTGTTAAAGAATCATAGCCAGTAACTTTTATCTAAACTTACAACAACAACAACAACAACAACAAAAAGGTTACACCCTAACTCCCATTTAGACAAAAGTCACATGGACAGTATATTTGGTTTATGTGGCATATCCCTTAAAAATGATTTCTTGAATATCAGTACAGTTGTTTTCCGGGGTGAAAGCCCCCCCCCCATACAGTGCCGATTAGCCTCAATCATTTCTAGAACTTTCCCGTGTACTATGATAAATTTCAGTGATAATATTATGGAGAGTGAGAATTTTAAGGTTTATGATTCGTGAAATTCTGTGAATGTTGGCTCAGTATACATAAAATTTCAAGTGTATTGTTTATCTAATTTACAAATTTATCTTCCAGGCTGTTCCTTACTCCAGAGAATTTAAACAGAAATATGACTACTTTAGGAAGAAATTAAAGAAACCTGTGAGTAACATGTCTTCCAAAAATGCTGTTTTAGTCATCTGTAAGTTGCCAAAGTTACTTCAGTGAGAACAACTTGTGTGTTTACCTTTATGTGTTACTAAAAATATTCCCTTACTTTTCCCATTGCACTTTGATCCACCTGGATCTTCAATCTGAATTTTCTTTTTAAGAGACCTGGTAAGTGAAGACTAACTTAGTATTACATATCAAATCAACCTGAATGGTAATTTCTCATGTAATAATAACAAGATAGAAATGATTTTAGTGGGATATAAAATAATTTAGGACCTAGTCAAAAAATGTGGAGAACCCTGCGGTCGTCATCATAAAACCTAGACTCTACTCAGAAAAATGTTCCCATCCTTCCCTCCCAATTCAAAAGTATAGTTTTAATTATAATTATAACACAAATACAATTTGCCAAATATATTTGGCATGTTAAGAACGAGTATAATTTTCAGATTAAAATTCTCAGTGGGAAACCTTGTGAGGTTTTTACAGGCCGCATTTTAAATCACAGTATTACATTTTCTCCTGGCACATCCTCCCCGGATCTTCAGCACCGTGTCTTCTGTCTTCCTGTCTGACGTCACCTCTCTGGTGCAGGTTTTACCAGTTTTCCCTTCAATGTGCACACTCATGGTTTCTGCACCGGCCACTGTTTCTTGGCTTCCTCCCCTTGGGAAGAGGAGAGTACTGGGCACAACTCCCCTCACCCCAGTCTGCCCGGGCTCCATCGTGGTCTCTCCCACTCCGTGCCCTTGGCTGATGCCTCTTTTCTGGGCCTCTGCAATGGGCAAGGCACTGGGGACATGCAGGTGCATGAGACAGTCTCTGCGTCGGGAGCTCCCACGTTTGGATCCTCTCCCTCCCAGCGTGCTGATTCAAGTAGCTCTTGGACAACTGCCTTGAAAGTGACTCTGATAAACACACATAAAATTCCTCAGTGTTATTTAGTGAGTAACCTAATGTCCCCCAGTAGCTGGGAATGACTTTGTGGACGGGAGCCTGTCATACCGTGGCACTCCTGCTGGGGTGTCATCTGCCAGGAAACCCCACTGCAAATCCACTGTCAGAGCAAGACTAACCCTGGTCCTCCTTTTTCCAGGCAGCAGTGATTCACAACTTCGCTCAAGTGCTTGTTTATGTTCATGTTCTTTAACCGTGACCTTTGCCATGCTTTCCCACAACCTGGCATGATCCTCGAGGTCCCACTTCTCATGGCACCAGAATTAGCTTGTAGGCATCATGGATCACATCTACCAGCTGGAGACCCTGCCAGAGTTGAGAATGCTCTCAACTGGGCCAGATGGGAATTGTTTTCTGGGTTTTGATGACCTGGACTGACATCCCTTTCTTCGACAGAAGCAGTATCGAGAGTTGACTATATTTCAGTGGCCAGTGGGTGGACAGGTGCCTCACGGTTGTTTATAAAAGGCAGGGAGAGGATGATTGTCTTCTACTCCACATAGTTTCTTGTGCCTCATGTGTTGCTGGCTCCGTCCGACAGCTGCTGGTTCATGCTCTGTGTATCTTATCCTGACGTAGTGGGCCGCGATGTCTGTGTGAATAAAATCCCTGAAGGAGGGAATCTCAGTTGGAGCCCTTGGTCACTGCTTATTTATTTGAAGACTGCCATCATTTCTACTCTTTGTTGTTTTTCTCTGTTCAAAAGTAAGATGTGTATTTGCTGTGTGATTACGTGCCTGTTTTCTTCTTTCATGTAGGCTGATATTCCAAATAGGTTTGAAATGAAACTTCACAGAAATAACATCTTTGAAGAGTCCTATCGGAGAATCATGTCTGTGAAAAGACCAGACGTCCTGAAAGCCAGACTGTGGATCGAGTTTGAATCGGAGAAAGGTCTTGACTATGGGGGTGTGGCCAGAGAGTGGTTCTTCCTACTGTCCAAAGAGATGTTCAACCCCTACTATGGGCTTTTTGAGTATTCTGCAACGTAAGTATGCGGAGTGCACTCAGAATGTGTCTCCCCCACCCCCCAAAAGAGTAATTAGTAATGAATTTAAACCTAATGGGAGAATGAGCGGCTCAGTCATTCGAGATGAATTAACATTGCTGATTTCAGCACTCCCCTCCCCCCGTAAGTCTAGAACAGGTTCCGACTCTACAAGGTGAAGTAATGTACTCTGCCTTGTCATTCGGGTTCATGTAATTGAAGTGGAAAATGTGCTGGGGACTTATGGTTAGGAACAAGAGGCAATTTTCATTTGTAATGTTATGGTAATTCAGGAGGATTTGTCAGTGTCAGAATTCAAAGGAACTCATCAGGTTTTGAACAAGAATAGTTTCTGAGGTTCTGCTCAGAGGCAAATGATGGCAAACTTTGAGGACCCATTCTTTAGGATATAAAGGACCGTTGGTCTGTATTGGTCTGTAAGGGAAGAAACAGATTCTCCCTTGTATTGGGATTTTGTCTTCACCAAACAGAAACTGAGGCGGAGTTAGTTGCATTCTCAGGAATCAGACAGCCACGACTCACAGGGTCGGGAGCTCCTTCCAGGCTTTGGAGTCTCCAGAGGCTTCGGCTGAACCTGAGGCCCCAGTAGGATAGTCATTGACCTTGCTGAAGGGCCACCTGTGCCGTCAAGGGACATGGGTTCTCCCGCATCATCTCCTGGGAGCTCTCCTTGGTTGCTTTAGCCAAGAGTTCCCATTTTGTTTTTTTTGTTTGTTGTTGTTCACCATGAGCACCATGAGAAAGCCTGCTATGTGAAATTGATAAAACCATTGAAGTGGAGGGCAGGGTAGGGAGGCAAGACCCTTATCTCTCACCCACATTCCCAGAGAGATCCCCCCCCCCACCACCACAGGGAATCCCTGTGGAGCCCAGTTTGAAAACCACTGATCCTCAAGATCTTGAGACCAAAGAAGGATGATTAGATAAACGTGAACATTTTGAGGTTTGTATTGTTGAGACAGCTAAATGCTACTCCCATTGCCCTTGGAGCCTTTCAGGGCAGAGTGGTGGCCAGACCAAGGGTTGGGTCCATCGGGAAAACTTTTAATCTCCAAACCACAAGTCTTTCAAAGGAATTAACCCTCATCCTCACAGAGAAAACCTGTAGTATTCACGTCATTGGCAGTCGACACATGGCCCCTCTGTTACATGATGTTTCTCGTGTTCCCAAAATACTTGACTGAACCATATGCAATTGACATTTTTTATAGAGCAAAAGTAGTCAAATATCAACAGTTTCTGGTGATGTGACTTACATAGGGCATGTGCACCTGCTCTGTTAGACCTCAGTCGGTCACAAAGAGGCTAAACAGTAAGTCACGTTCTCTAGCTTTTACGCCTTTTTCCATTGGGTACAGAATGTTTGCAGGTGCACTGTGCAAGTCTAAGGACTGGTAGCAAAGGAGAATTCAGGTCGACCTGTTGAATTTCTTATTTAAAAGTATGATTACGCTTTACCTCTCTCTTCCTCCCCAAAGGGACAACTACACACTTCAGATCAACCCCAATTCAGGCCTCTGTAATGAAGACCATTTATCCTATTTCACTTTTATTGGAAGAGTTGCTGGTCTGGCAGTATTTCATGGGAAACTTTTGGATGGTAAGTTAACTGAAATGACACAAAGTGACCAAAGTAGGACAGTGCCGTTTGTGGTTCCTTACTAGGTGTCCTATCTTTCACATCACGATGTTATGCAAAAGTTTCACTGATTCTCTGTAATTGGATAAATTGGTTTTTTGGTTTGCCCGTAAAAGAGGTGCTTTTCCCTGGTGTCATCCTAATTTGAGCACTGAAGACAATAGTGTCTACACAGTTTAAAAAAAAAAATTTTTTTTTAACCTTACACTGTAAAGCACAGAGCATTCTGTATTTGCACATTTTCTATGTTTTCCAGAATAACTTTTTTTTTTTTAGCAAGAGGTATATTTGGTGACAGATGGAAAAGCTAATTGAAAAGTTAATTAAAATGATCTAATCCATCCAATATCCTGCTATTGTTCCGTTTGTCCCCAAATTATTATTTTTGAATGTGAAGAGATTGTAAGTAATTTCAAAGCAATGCTATCACTCAGCGAAGAGATTGACCCTGGGATCACTGCTAAAACAGATGGCACAAAAGAATCTCTGTATTATTTAGAGCATATAAGTGATGGAAGAATTTCAAGGTATACTTAAAGTTAGAAGTCAGACTCCCTCCCTGGCTGGATCTATAGGCTTCTTGGTAGTAAAGACCTCTTCTGCATTCAGTCACTTCAGAAGTAATGCCCATAAGAGGGCATTACAGAAATCATCAGTGAGGAAATTGAATTTGAAATATTTTTGAAGGGGGCGCCTGGGTGGCTCAGTCGGTTAAGTGTCTGATTCTTGATTTCAGCTCAGGTCATGATCTCAGGGTCATGAGATTGAGCCCCACAAAGGGCTCTGTGCTCAGCAAGGAGTCTGTCCTCCTCACTCGACCCCTCCCCCAGCGAGCACTCTCTGTCTCCAAAAAATAAATAAAATCTTCAAAAATACCTATTTTTGGCATGAAACAGTTGAGGATAGAAGGCAGAGAGTAAGATTTGGGGTTAGAATTGTAATTACCTACCATAGAAAATGAGGTTTTATGGGGAAATATGTTAATTGTGTTTATGGAACCTCAGCTATTCCAAAAACTAATCGATGTCCCCTCTGTACTTTTCCCTTTAATATATTTTCACTGGTAATTGGTAGCTGATATTTGATCCTCTCATTTCATATTTTATTTTTGGTTGGGAAAGTAAACTTTTTTTTTTCTGATTAGAAGGAAGCCACAGTCATTATTTATGTATATATAAAATATATACATATACACAGGGTGTGTGCAAATATATTTTAATTTGCAACTTTGGAGTCATGCCATAAATTATTTCAGCCTATGCAGATTCATGTCAGCTTTCTCAGAGGTCTGTTTATTTACCTTCTGCCAAGTGAGAAGGCATTCTTAGTTGCTTTGGAGAAATCTAGAAAGTAGAAGATAGGATCCTGACCTCAGTGAACCGTCTGTTCTCTTGGGGCGGGGGCATGGTGGCGAGCAGAAGAATCGCAGCGACAGGAGAAGGAGGCACAAGGAACAGGCCGAGGAGAAGGCAGCTTGGCTGGAGGGCCGGGGAGCGTGTTGACCACGCTGTACCTCCCCTCGAGGGTGGGGTAGGATTTACGCATTTCGAAGCTGGGATCACTTTGGAGCCAGGCTCCATGGAGGGAGCAGCGGGAAGGGGCAGGAACATGTCGTGGAGTGGAGGAGACTGCCACACGGGGGGACAACAGTGTATCTCAGCAGTTGCAGAGTTAAGAGCCAGAGTGCCCCCGGGTGTGGGCTGAGAATGTGAGTGCCCCCTGTAGGCTGAACCTGTGCGCTCTGCAGGTCAGCGCACCGCTGCCTTCTGCTGGTTTCCTCCGTTTACTACCTTTGACCTCCCTAGACCCCGAAGGTTATTGAGCCAGCAGGGTGGGGAATATGCAGCAGAGCACCGGGACAGATTGGATGGGGCAGGGGGGCGAGGGTGAAGGAGGAGGGGGAGAAGGGCCCCCTGGGAGGAGGTGGCGCCCAAGGGATGCCGACTTGCCCTTGGGGAAGGCAAGTCAGGGTCCCTGCGGGCCACCTCTGTGGTGGTGGAGTCCACCGCCATAGGCCTTCATCCCCCTCCCCTGGAAGCCTGCACAGCCTTCTGAGTGGTCTCCCTCGTTTCCCACTTGCCCCCTTCCATGTTTTCTCCCCATTACTGCCCAGTGATCCCCAAGTGCAGGTGAAATTTTCACCTGGCTTTTCCATGACACGGGAGCCCCACAGGCAGCAGCCTGGCTCTGCAGCGCCCCCTGCTGGCTGTGTGCTTCCCAGTCCCCTCTCCGGCCTGGCCTCAACCTGGCCCACCCCTGGCAAGTCTGTCTTGTCCCCTCCGCTTCCACTGCTCTTTTGTCCTCTTGTTCATGTGCCTTGTTTGAGCTGCAGACTCCCGCTTGGCCCTGACTTTTTCCCCCCCTCCTTAGAAGCCTTTAGACCCCTTCCTGTTGTACTATCCTGCCTGAGCCCTGCCTTCCCCTAGGCCAGGCCTGGCCTCTCATTCCACCTGAGGGCAGCTTCATTTTTTATTTCAGCAGTATCACAGCTTTGAGAACTAACCCATATTTTTCCTCCCTCTCTCAGGTTTCTTCATTAGACCGTTTTACAAAATGATGTTGGGAAAGCAGATAACTCTGAATGACATGGAATCTGTGGTGAGTAAATATCACTCCCCTGGGCATCATGGGCCCCTGTGCCTCGCAGAGGGGTAGCTGAGATCATGTTGTAGTTGCAGTGAGTTTTGTGGGTGTTGTCATTCAGTATGAACAACAGGGAACATTGACTTGTTCACGAAGTTAATTGAGCTCCCTAAATTCTAATAAGTAAATCGTTGTTCACATTTCCTAGAATCGTGCTGCTCGAGGTGGGTAGACTCCAGCCTCAGCCACCTCACTTCCCTGGAACTGATTTGACCAAACTCAATCCAAGGGTCATCTGGGGGTCTCACTGCAGCTCTTACTTTCCTTCGAAAACCGCTGATCCGAATGTTCAGAGATTCATCAGCTATCCGTCTGTTTTCTAATCTCAAAACATGGAAGGAGCTCAGGCCAAAACGTAGCTAAAGGGAAGAGCACTTCCAGATACGGAAGTGACCGGTTCGGTGCCGGGGTCGGGATGAACCCAGTCAGAAAAGGATGCTGGAAGACACTCTGAAACATGATTCGGGCTTTCCCATTGTAGTCAACTTACCCGTTTTATCTAGGCTGACCATTTTAGGGTCCAAAGGATTTTCTATAAAAACAAAAGTGACAACTCTTCTCGTAACGTACCTGCTGCTTCTGGTTTTCTGCTAGTTTACCCATCCCCCCACCAGCCCGCTCCAGCCGAGCGTGGGGGTGAGTGCCCGAGTGCCCGCGCGCTCACAGGGCCATCAGGAAGCTCTTTGTCCACTTGGGGTATTGCAACTCTGCTTTCATGTCCTGTCACTTGATGAGAAAGCACGTGCATCCCCTTGGCCTCGCTGTGGTGTCAGTGGTGTCTCTTAGGTAGTCGGGCGTTTGAGCCATATTCGCCTCGTTTACCAGCGTTCGTCAGTGCTCTGCTCATCATCTCTGTGAAGGAAGAGGGTGACGCCCACCGTGCACATGAATCCACTCAACTGGTTTTCCCGTGGGCAAGTTGCTACACAGAACCCCAGTAGCAGCCTCAAAGCTTCCACCTTTAACTTACGTTTCTATTATAATAGAATGAGGGAGCTGGGAACATAAAAATTTCCTCTAAATCTAAACTTTATGCCACCTGTTGACGGCTGGTGCACGCATTCTCTTCTGCCTTCCCAGAGCCTGTGCAGTGTGTCCCCAGTGGTGGAGCCCCTGGGCCTTGCCCCAGAGAGAGGAGCCCAGGCCCCTGTGGCTTGTGTTCTGGCTTTGACACCAGCGCAGCCTTCCTGTTTGCTTACAGGACTTGCAGAGAGCAATAAAAGCACAGGAAGGGGGTATAAAATCATTGGTATTTAAGTAGAACATTTTCTGTCTTTCCTGTTTTCCTCTGGTATTTTCACCCTTAAAAAGATCGGAAGTATACTGATTTCTCCATGGTCAACCTGATGTTCCTTCTGCCAATCCAGAGCAGGTGGTTTCCTCTACCCTTTACGGAGGACGGGATTCACGTCCAGTCCCCTCCTGACTACCACAACATTTTTTTGGTTTGATTTGTATTTTAAATCACAGGGGAAGAGTAGGTTTGGAGCAGAGCAAGAAGCCTATTAGTGACTAGTAATCCGTGAGCATTCTGAAGGGAATTGCGTTAGAAGGGCTTAATGACTTGGAGAAGTCAAATGAGTTTGTATTTGGGGAGGAAGACTTAATTCTCTATCATTTCTATAGGATAGTGAATATTACAACTCTTTGAAATGGATCTTGGAAAATGATCCTACTGAACTGGACCTCATGTTCTGTATCGATGAAGAAAACTTTGGACAGGTACGTGTGGGCCTCCCCGGGACTTCCTCTTTGACTTCACAGTCTTTGCTTCTTCACAGAAGGGCTGCATGACAGGACTCCCCTGGACAATTAAAATCACTTCTGAGAGCTTCAGGTGTTAATTAGCATCTCATTACATGGGCACCTCCTTGTCCTGCCAGGAAGCTAACTTCTTCCTCTCTTTCCGGCCAAGTTAGAGATTCTAAGGCCTCTGGGGTGTGAAGCCCATCTCCTTCTCACTTAAAGCAAATCGGAACGTGAGTGGTTAGGCCTTGGTTTTAGAATTTAAGTACTTCAAAAAATCATGTGTTTAAGTAGTGGTTTTAAGTACACGACCAGGAGAGGTGATGTTTGGCGGGGCCTTTAAGGGTTCTGTGGTCATGATGAAAGTTGTCTTGTGGGGCTCAGCAGGCTCGGATTTTTCTAGCATTCCCTTCTGGCTTTGCACACACACTGTCATTAGGCTGAATTCATCGTAAAGATCTATGTCAAAGATAAAGTGGCCTGCTGGGAATTCTCATCACCGTCCTAAAGTTCCATAGGGTGTGTTTGTCTTAAACCCGAAACCTTCTATTCATTTGTCCCTGGTGATCACGGTGCTTTTTGGGAGGTCTGTTGACGGTATTTATCCAGCCCTGGTACCTGTCCTTTCACAAAAGCCCAGACACGGTTCCCATGTCCCAGAGCAAATCTGCATGACCTTGAAATGAATGAGACCATGGAGCCCATTTGAAGGGTTGCCATATGGAAAAGGAAACTGATCTTCCTTGTTGCTTCAGAGGGGGTTAAAAGTGTACTCTGCTGTCAGAAATGCCTGTCACTTTACATTGTGGCGCTCAGTTGTGTAGGTAAAGCTGGGAAATCAGGTGCCTGCCCTCTTGGGTTCACTGTCTTAGAAAGCAAACACAAACATGCAGTTTGTCTACTTAAAAATTCTTGGTTGACCCTTCTGTGACCTTCAGGATAAACTGAAACTTTTTTTTTTTTTTTAAGCATAGCTTATGACCTGGCACTGCCCACCTTCAGCCTGATCTTTTGACCCCCCTCCACTTGCTCACCTTGACAACCATAGCGTACCTATAACCTTGTCTGCAGAGACACTTCCGGGCGAGCTCCCTGTCTGTGCAGCGCCCTCCGCGTTCCTGCACCGTGTCATCCCCTCTCCCAAAACTCTTCTCAGGCTGTCCCCCAGTCATTACAGACCCACTGTCCGCTGTGAGCCGACCTCAGTCGCCTTGGTCTTTCTGGCGCTCAGCGGCCGCTGAGACCTGCTGAATGCTTATCGGGCAAATGAATGGCACCAGCCTAGTTGTGTTTTTTTTTAAACTGTTAATTTGTTGTAAGTGACAGAAGCTCTGAGTGTGAGAAAACAAAATAATTCAATGACTTCGTTTTTTAAGCTGGACCTATTTAAGGGTGCTGCCAGTTGTCCAAGGGTAACACATGGATAATCATCCTGGAACTCTGTCTTCCTTTCATTTCTAACACATGGAGGAAGGAGTAGAAATAAGGAACCAAGGAAGACTTAAAATTGATCTTGTGTGTTGACTGCACAAAACAAAACAGAACAAAAAAAACCCCTTTATATCCACTCACATAGAAAACCATATGACTGACTTACCACGGTTCAGAAGACGTGAGCAAGACAGAGCTGGAAGCGGATGTGCTGGGGAAGCCTCCTTAGTGACAGTTAAATGGAACTGTTTCTGCCTAATAAATGACACCCAAACACATGATGTTTGGATTTTTAAGTAGACTTCTAATAAAAGTTCTGATTAAAAGATCTAATAAAAGATCATTGTAGTTCATATCAGTTATTCATTAAAAACAATTCTCAGCCCTCCTCATTTGATGCTGTAGGTTCTTCTGACTTTTGGATTGAACTGGGTGGAGTAATGCAGTAACAAAACAGACTCACAGGAGGAGTAATAAGAATGATTAGGTGCCCTCTTTGTTAAATTACCGCTTCCCTTTTTAGAGAGCTGACCTGATTAACAGGGAACTAGTGTTATCTCTTTTGCATTCTGGGAAGAAGTTGAGAGAGAATTAAGCAGCCACGTAGTGATCACATCTCCCATTTCCAGTCCCTCCCCAAGCCTTGTTCATTTTAACCCCCAAATACTTATCAGATCTGTCTGTTCTCCCTTCCCAACTCCTCCAACACCCAAGTCTGAGCTACCATCCTGTCTCATAGACTCCTAGCTGGGCTTTTATATCCACCTTGTTCTCCTTTAATGGCAGACTGGTCTTTTCAGGACTTAAAAATCATCATCTCTCTGCCAGAAACATTGAAAGATAAAGATCCAGATCATCGATTGGCCCCGTGAGGTCCTGCATGGCCTTGCCCCATCTGTTCTGTCTCCAGATGCATTTTTTGCATCACAGAGCTGCCCCTTGTGCTCTCTGGGCCTGGTCTCATTGGACTTCCTGAACACACCAGTTCCTTCTTGCCTCAGGACCTTTGCTCATGCCATTCCATCTCTTGGGAACATACTGCCTCCCACCTGCTGTTCAGACAATCCCTTTCTCAAAAGGAAACCGACCTTGACCCCAGGCCATAATACTTCACAGAGTGCGTCCATGTCTCCCTGTGGCATATAGCATGGATGACTGTGCATTTACTGCTATGATTCGGTGCGGGGCATTAAGCACAGGCTGGTGGCGGCAGTACTGGGTATGCGTCTTGCTGGCCACCGTGCACTCACCTGCACAGCACCTGGGAGTGGGGTGCGGTGGAACCAGCGTGGGTGTCCACTGATGTCCCCGCCTCTCCCCTCCTCCAGCCCTCTGCACAGCTGTTGACCGCGTTGCCTTTTACTTGAACCCAAGAGGAAGCGCATGCCTCCCTTGGGCCAGAACATAGTCATTTCTTCAATGGCGTGAAGGCACCATACACATGGACCGTAGGTGCAGCCGGCCTTCCAAGGGGCTGTTAGCTAGCAGGGTTTTTTTTGTTTTTGTTTTTTGTTTTTGTTTTTGTTTTTCATTCCGCAACTGGAAACATCAAGCCGTGAAGTTGGGTGGTAGCTGTCATTTCAAGGAAAGAAACTCAGGCTGTGGTCATTATTGTGCAGTGTTTTCTTTCTGGTTGGTGAGAATTTGGAGCCGCAGGTTTCTGGGGCCTCCTGTGAATGTCTCGGATGAACAGATTTCAGCATGTGAACAGTCGTCCTTTGCCGAGCAGCAAGAATAAAGTGTGCACTGGGGCGCACGTGCGCACCCACACCCACAGGAGCAGGTACTCTTTCAGAGCTGTAATAAGTAGAGATTCTTTATTGCCGGTTCAGCAACTTCGCATCTGATCGGGTTGTTTTGAAGACTAGAAGTGTGGACTCTTACGAGCCTGGGCAGCAACCTGCAGGAAAATTCTTCAGGACCAGGCATAAGTTAGGTGAAGGCATACATTCTGAACTGGGGTGACATCACCCCCAAGGGGGTAAAAACTAGTTCTTGGAGAACAAAAAAGTCTGAGCTATTCACGGTGGCTTGTGGCGCTCCCAAAAGGTCACAGTATGTGCCTCGGGATTAGGATAGACCTGTTTATGAAGATTTAATGGGAAGAAAGGGGAGGGGCAGGGGAGGGGGTCTGAAAGGGCTCTTAAGGGGCAACAATGAAAAAAAAGGCCGAGAAACTACACAGGGGAAGAAAATGAGTAAAAGGCAGAAACTGGATCTAGGAGGAAAGGTGAGCAACAGACAGGGGGCAAGATCCTGGCCAAAGCTGGGAAGAACCGGACCAAGAGCCTAATGTGGGGGTGGCTCCAGGTGGGCAGGGCGGGGCAGAGGCTCGGGCTCCTCAAAGACCAGGTCAGGGAGCTAGACAGATGACACCTGTAGGAAACGTGAAGAAGGTAGAAGGGCGGTTGACTCAGATGCCTTGGCCCCGTGGCTCGCTCTCCTGTCTGCCTGGACCCTGAGGCTCATCCCGCAGGGTTCGTGGGGCACATGTCCTGTATGGGAACCTGGCTCTGCCCAAGTCCCACTCAACTCAATAGGATCCACACAGTTTCTCAGCAGACTTCTCGGACATTCGACGTAAGGCATCGTTGAACGATCTGGGGGATGTGTGTGAATCCAGAGCTTTAACCTGCCAAGGAAGAGGGTCTAGATGTATGAGTCCCATCTCCTCGGAGGTTCCTCTGATCTAACATACAGTCTTTATGAAGAGGGGTAACTTTGTACTCAGGCCAGTAGACTCAGAATAGGGATTTTTCCAGAAGCACATACGGAGCGCCTCCTGTGTGCAGGCGCCATGTTAGTGTTGTTCATCCCGGGTCCTTGAGTTCAGACACAAGACAATGATGACACTGGCCCAGATGCAGGTGTTCACACAGAGGAAGTATGTATTCAGGTTGGTGGGGAGACGGTGGGGTGGGAGGAAGCCACTCTCCACTTCTGCTGAGTCTCCCTCTCGGCGAGGAAATGGGGGCAGTGGCACCTGCCTCGTGGGGACCGGTCCGTGATTTCCCCTGTGACGAGCCTAACCCTGCACCCGGACCACAGGAAGCGGGCTGTGCCTGGCCCTTGGCAGCCAGTTGAAAACGTGGGATTGGAAGAGCCCCCACTGCTTCCCACTCAGGTGTTGTCGGTGAGGAGCCCAAGCAGGAGAGAACTGGACTGAACTGAGAGACACGAATGGTCAGGCTCTGGGAGCAAGAGCTGGAAACCAGCCTTCTCTGCCTGCTCGTGAGCACCCAGCACCGCCTCCCCGAGGGACCCGCAGTCAGTCACCCACAGAACCAGATGGCTGCCCACAGACTGACTCTTGCTTAACCTCCTGCCATAACACAGACAGCATGGTCCCTTTTTTCCTTCAAAAACGATGGTATTTGTTTATCTGATTACAAAATACTAGTAAGTAATAAACATAAAGCCAGTACAACAAAAATCATCCATAGCTCCTACTGCCTAGAGAAAATTCACGATTAAAATTTTGATTTCTGTCTTCCAGAATTATTCTTTGTCATCACATGCAAACAAGATTTTTTATTTTTACAGAATGAACTTGTATGATACATACACTTCTAACTTAATATATCCCAGCTACCTTTCCATGTCAGGAAGTGTCGAGGTAATCTATTTTAAATGGCTACACTGAATTCCATGTCTTAGACCGGATCTTTTCTAACCATGTCCCATTGCTAGGCATGCAGGCTAGTTTGTGGTTTTGCTATATAGGCAGCATGATGATTATAATCTTGGAATGTACATTTTGTTGATCTAGCCAGTTTCCCTTGGTACAAATTCTAGAAGAGAAGGTACTATGACAAGGGATGCTGTGCACATTGAAATTTGATGCCTCTTGCCAAATTACCTTCCCAAAAGGTTGAAGCTGTTCGACCCCCTGCCAACAGCGTAGGGAAGAATGGTTTCTCTGCAGTCAGTGCGGGCTGCCGCCTCTTTTTCACTGGGTGTTGGGTTTTGGAGGCACCAGAGGTGTTTTTCTCCTTGCCCCTCCCCACGCTCTCTCTCTGAGGTCAATCTTCTCATTCCAGAGCTCTCTGGAAATTGCAGCTCCTGGAAAAAATTCTTAGTGTTGCTGAACTGTGCTGAAGACCTCTCAGTACCGAGAACTGGGCTTGGATTTATTAACTTGTTTGGTGTGGATCTGACGGAGAAACTCCCATTACTGAAAGGGAACAGCAGCAAGATCATCTTTGGGGGAGAAAAGGAAAAACCATGAGGAGCTTATTTAAAAATGCAGCAGTATAAATGAATACAGTCGGTTCTATTCTAAGAAACGTCGCCACCTCACACATTAAGCATAAGTGTCCACCATCGTTGAGGATTGCCAGGGCCCCTTGAGGCCGGGCAGGCAGTCGCAGGGAGAGCCAGGCAGATGGGAGGATGGCCACGGAGAAGGGGGAAACAGGCAGGAAGGAGGGGCTCGAAGAAAACTTAAGAATACGGTAACATTGAAATCCACATCGCAGACGGTAAAGAGTTGCAGTGACATCGTAGAGCGTGGAGTTCAGTCATGGGGTGGAAACACCAGATCCCTCCCTGAATAAGAGGAAGAGGAGAAAGAAGGAAATGTAAAAGGATTAGATGACCAGCGTGCTTTGACTGAAAACGTCGAACTGGAGCAGCGATCCCGCACATAATCGGGAGACCGTTGGGAGGCGGACAGGGGCTGCGCGTCTGGGTCACAGAGCCTCCGTCTGTCCTGGGCAGGTGAGGCATCGCTGACGGTGGACCCCTGCCCGAGCAGCAGATTTCATCGCCGCTCCAAATCTCTTCTCCCTCATGATGGATGTGATCCACAAACTTACTCTGGAAAACCCTCACTCTCTGAAATAGCCAGTTCTGCATAGAAAAGAGGAAAGGGATCCCAGCAGAACATTGATGTGGCTGTCTTTGAATAGGAGACTTGTGGGTGGTAATTTTTCTATTAAAATTTCTATGAGAGTAAACTTTATTATATTATTATTATTTTTTTACGTCTCTCCGTCCCTTGCTTTCTGCTAGTTACTGCTTTCTACGGCATGATGTTGAGTTAGGGCTGGCCAGAGGCACAGAACAAGGCCATGCTGGCATTCAGCAGCTTTGCTCTTACAGTGCTGGGTGGCCCTGCGGGAGGGAGCTGGTCCAGGCAGTAAGCAAGGAGGTGTCCGGATGCACATAGAAAGCCAGGGTTCTCAGAACAGCAGGTAAATCCATCCCTCAGCCTTGCTTCTTAAGCTGCCCTTTTTTTTTTTCTTTAAGAGTCCCTATGTTTCCCCTTTTTGAAAGAAATTCCATGCGTCTTTTTTTATGACTATAAAATCTAATTTTCAGAAAATGCATTAAAATTTGGATCTTGGTAGTCTTGATGAGCGTACCCTGTCTTTTCTGTTACACGTAATTAAGTTCCTGATAAATGAATAGGTGACAAAATGGTGTTCTTCTCCATTGTTTGTAATGTATGAAGAATAATTAAAACTCATAAATAACCTCAAAATAATTCACCTTTGATAACCTCTTTAAATGTGTAACATCTCAAAAGTTTAAAAGCCTCGTTAGATATTCTCTTATACTCAGAGCCCATCTGCTGGAAAGTCTTTCTGAATGAATGTTGCTTATCTTGTTTAGTGAAAGACATTAGTACTCGCTAATGTGCACAGTAACTTCATGATGGTGATTGTTGTGTTATCTTTGCAATTACAGACCTATCAAGTGGATCTGAAGCCCAATGGGTCAGAAATAATGGTGACAAATGAAAACAAGAGGGAATATATTGAGTACGTATACACAGATTTACAACCTTTTATTAAATTGAACAAGCTGGTTGATGTCCCTTTCGAAAACAGCTCGTGCCTGTTGTGGACACACTTTCAGTAATACGAGTTCCTTTCTGGCTTGGGCTAATAGGAAGTCAAACTATAAGATGGGAAGTTGGGCCTTGTATCATGACTTCAGTGAGCTGCCTTATGAGGGAGTCATAAAAGGAGAAAAAAGTGTACGGTATTGAGTAATATGATGGACATGCTTTTGGAGGATGTGATGTGTAGTCTAAAATTGAGATTTGCAGTGTTGGAACATAGTGTCAACAACCAGTGGGGTATGGTGATGGGTATTAAAGAGGGCACATTCTGCATGGAGCACTGGGTGTTATGCACAAACAATGAATGAATCATGGAACACTACATCAAAAACTAATGATGTAATATATGGTGATTAACATAACAATAAAAAATTTTAAAAATAATAAATTAAAAAAAAAACAACCAGTGGGGTAAAATAAGGAACAACCAGAAATAAAATATTTCCTCTCTCTCGTGACTTCTCTTCCGTAATGAAAATGTAAGAAAATTGTTAAAATGGTTAAGAAGATCCACATATGCAAACACAGTGAATTATTTCTGATATTTACAATTTTCTTAACCCAATCTTAGCCTCGGTGGTGGAACAAAATGTTTAGTCCTTTGGAAATCCAGCTGTTTAGCAATCCTAGGGCATTTATGCTAGCCAGAAGGCCTTTGTCTGTCGGGCACATTACACGATTTCCTCTTTGGTGTGTATATGCGCTTCAAGCACACAAGTCTGGGATCTCCCTCTCTAGCCCCAGTGCAGGGATGGGGTTGGCACAGTGGTGTTTGGTGCCCGGGTCCCAGTGTCTGCATTCAACAAATTGGTTCCCTCCTCCCTGCTCAACATAATTGGTCAGAAGACTTGAATTTGAAGAATTGGCCTAGAGTCTTGGCATCTTTTAGTGTCCTCTACAAAGAAAAACCCATCCTTCCTAATTAGGGAGAAATGGAGAGTGTTGGAGCCTCTACCTAGAGACTCTGACAAAGCATGCATAGCAGACTTGCCCTCTGCCCGCCCATCCTCACAAGTTAAAAGCTTGCTGTGCTTAAAAAACAAAACAAAACAAACAAACAAAAAAAACCCACCTAGAAATAAGATACTGCAGTTCTTACCTGTTCACATTAATTGGCACACTTGTTCTGAATTTGGACAATCTCAGCAGGTTGGACGCCACTTCGGCAGATGCCATGGTCTTCATTTTGAAAGTATAGGCTTTAAATGGATTTTTAAATCCTGAGGGGGATTAGGGTCTGAAGTCTGAGTGTTTGGACATTTGATACATGTGGTATATCATCCTTTGCCGTTAATTCTTTTAGGTTTCAAGTTTGCTGGGGGTGGGCTTGGACAGAGTTGCAGGTGGCTTCACTGGAAAAGAAGGGAGGGTGAAAATCTCCACCCGCTCCCCCGGCACACGGGTGCCCCTGGGGTGCAAGAAGGCTCTGGGGCTGATGGTTGAGCAGTGCGGTGAAGCCTTAGGCGGCTGAGCAAGGCATGTGCAGAGGGGCTGGGCCTGGAGGGCCGTTGCCATGGTGGCACCTCGCAGGGAGAGCCCTTTATGGAGGGCTTCGTGCTATTTCGCGACAAAATGCTTTAGCTGGAGTCCAGCATGGACTCACCTAGCATTAGATTCTGCTGTGCCCTAAACATCGTCACAGAGAAAATGGTTTCTGTTAAAGAGGTCTTATCATTAATTCTCCAAATTTTGGTATTAAAGGATTAGCATAAATCATTTTGCTGGTAAGTTATGTGTCATTATTGAAAACAGTATACTGGACGCTAGAGTGAAATGTATCACAAAATGTTGTACTAGATACTCCTTTTAAAAATATATGTACATGTTTAGGGGCACCTGGGTGGCTCAGTCAGTTGGGCGTCTGCCTTCGGCTCAGGTCATGATCTCAGGGTCCCTGGAATCGAGTCCCATGTCGGGCTCCCTGCTGAGCAGGGAGCCTGCTTCTCTTTCTCCCTCTGCCTCTCCCCTCTGCTTGTTCTCTCTCTCAAATACCTAAATGAAATCTTCAAAAAAGGAGGAAAAAAAACCTATGTACATGTTGCAGAGGTCGGTGTGTATATGCATGAGTTTGCGTGTGCATGCATGCATGATGCACCTGTATGTTCGCACTCCACGACCGTTTTTTCTCTCTCTGTCCGGGTAGTCCTATCGGTAGGCAACTTTGCTAAACTAAGACTTGATTAGAGGGGAATAAATTATCTCTGGGTTTAGGTTTCCCAGCTACTCCTGAAAGCATTACTGAATCAAGCGTGCCACGGTTCTACACCCTCCCTGTTGTCCGCCACGGCGGGGGTTCCTCTGCTCTCCCCTCCCCGGGTGAGAAGGTGTGAGGAAGCAAATGGGGCTCGCGGTGACGAGGGTGGTTCACTACTCTTCCGTTTCTCCCGCAGCTTGGTCATCCAGTGGAGGTTTGTGAACAGGGTCCAGAAGCAAATGAATGCCTTCTTGGAGGTAAGTTGTGCGCCCTCAGTCCTGGGTTGAGAGAGGAGGGCTCTGGTCCTGGGGGTGGGGGCGCTGGTGGCCCGGAGCAGTCAGCCACCCTTTCTTTCATCTCATGTTCTCTTGCTCTGGTTCTCCTTGAATCCCTCGCAGACTCCACTTCCACACAGGTGCATGCAAAACACATTGTCTTCGGCTGGGTTTTTGTCTTAACACCGACCTGTTGTGCCAACTTCCTCCTCTTGGAGGGTGAAGCAGCCACTCCTCAGATCCAAATATTTAATGTCAGCGACGCTCCCAGGCCCCTAGCAGAGGGTGGCGGGATTCCTCATTTTATAGAGGGTTCAGTTTGGGGGCACCTGGATGACTCAGTTAAGCGTCTGCCTTCGGCTCAGGTCATGATCTCAGGGTCCTGGGATCGAGCCCCATGTCGGGCTCCCTGCTCAGCTGGGAGCCTGCTTCTCCCTCTGCCCCTCTCCCTGCTCATTTTCTTTCTCTGAAATAAATAAGTAAAATCTTCTTTAAGAAATGGTTCACTTTAACCAAAAGTGAAACTCCTTTTTAAGTCTTGATTAACAGGTTTAGTTATGTAAAGAGAAGGTAGGAACAAGCCCCAAGTGCACATTATAAATTCCCACTTAACCAGTGCAGAGTTCTCACTGGGCAACGCTCTCCTCAGCTTGCCCCAGCTCCGTCACCTGCGGTAAAGCCCCAAGCCCAGCAGAACACTCAAAAAATTCAGGGACTTGGGGCATAATATGTGAGTTAGACCTACAGGAGGACAGCAGGTTTCATACTTCATTTACATAAGAAACCCAGGAGGCTTGGTCCTGGCCCCGCCCCAGGTGATCCCACATTCAGAAACCAGACACCTGCGAGGCCCCGCGGCATGGAGCATCTCACCGGAGCAGCGGTCCGGTGGTCAGTGTTAACGCGGGAACTAGAGCGGGGTCTCTGCGCCCCTCTCTCCTCCCCGGGATCACACCGTCTCCTTAGGTAGTCCATTTCTGTGCCTTCAGTACCTTATTTTTAAATATATTCTCTTGCACATTCGTGGCTCATGCCTTCTAGGACATACTGACTCACAGCTATGTCATAAAAAGCTTTTGGAATTTGCCTGCCTACAGTAACCCATGTTTTCAAAGGGCTTCTGAAATTGCTCAAATACCGAACCTTCTAGATTCTCCTCCTTTTCTAAATTTCTACATTGGGACTATGCTGTTTTTACTAGAACTACAGTTAAGGGATACCGTCGCTGATCTATAAATCAGCAAAAAAATGTGTTTTTTCCTGGCTGTTTTCTCTGTAAAATTTGTCTCTTTCAAGGAAAAAGATATTTAGGGTGACTTTTTTTTTTTTTTTTCCTCCAGGGATTCACAGAACTGCTTCCTATTGATTTGATTAAAATTTTTGATGAAAATGAGCTGGAGGTTTGTATTTTGAACATTTCCTTAAAGTTAGATATTCCTAAATGGTATTTTTTTATTCTCTGGCCCATGATGTCCTAGGGAGTAAGCTGGGATGGATTCTACTCTGTGTCTTACGGGGTGCGTTTGTCGATGTTCAAGTAGGGAATAGTGGAAGTAGTCAGCTGTAGATTCCTCACCCAGGAGAGGGTAGTTCTGGGACACACCAGACAAGTAGAGGCCCACCGAGCTGGGTTGGGTTCATGGCCAGGTGCACCAGGTAAGGAAAATTGCTTCTGATAGAGTCATGGTTGGGACAGCCAGTTGGGGCGGCAGCGTGCTGCTCACGAGGTTGGGCTGGCTGAGATCCTGCACCTCCTCCGCACACAGTGATAGTCATGTGACCTTGGCCAGGACGTGAGCAGCAGGGGCTGTGGAACAGATGTCTCTGTGAACTTGACCTGGTTTATATTGCATAAAGAAGAACTTCAGAAGACAACAAGGTAGTAGCAGGGGGCAGTTGATATTGTATTGCTTCAGCTTCTTTGTGTTGACCTGGAGGAAAACCAGCGACTTAAAAAGCACAGGGATCTCTCACCCTGTGTTGTGCTGAGAAATAGGAGGAGGAGGCTGTGTCTGGAGAACTTGTCACCCATTTGTCCAGGCCACGTATCTGATGAAGCATGTCTCACAGACTAGCCTTCTGTTCTTCCTTCTTGAAATAGCAACTTCAAGACAGATGTCGTCAAAATCCTATAGTGTGAGCCCTTTGTTTTATAAGTGGGGAAACAGGTGGGGGCAGCAGTTAAGGACCTTCCGGGTTTACCCAACAAGGTTTGGGCACAGTCAGGCCTAGGATCTATTCTCCGGCTTCTGGTTTGGTTCTCCTTCCATTTTTCTTTGGTGCCTCTGCAGGAATATCATGCTCACTTTTCCCTGAGCACTCCTTCCCTGCTTGGGGGTTAGGTAGCAGGAGGAGCCTCAGACTCCATCACAGGCCCAGTCACTGCATTCATGCAGGTCTGCCTCCATGTACCTCTGGTCAGCGAGCTGGCAGAGAGGTGCCCCGGCTGCCATAAAGCACTGATTCCCCTGGGGTTCGGGAGACATTTCACATCCGGAGACACACAGGGTCTCAGAAGGGCAAACAGCCAGAGTAACGGGCAGCTGTAAAGGGAACGCAAGAAAATCTGAGCCCCGGGCCCACGTTGGAGGCGTGGGCCAGAGACAGACGTGGAGTGGCATTTCCACCACAAAAGGCCATGGCCTGAACACGCGTTGGAACTGGGTCCCCCTCCTTACCTGCCCTGCCTCTGTGATTGGAAGGGGCAGGAAAGTGATGTCCCCGTCATGCATCTTTAAGAGTTGCCAGCTTACCTGCTTTGCAGACGACAAGATGCTGGCATTGAGAAAAGGCCATTCCTCCATGGGTGATTTATGCAGCGCTCACGTGGGCCCCACTTACATTTACTCAATCTCCCTCCTAGTTGCTGATGTGTGGCCTTGGCGATGTGGATGTGAACGACTGGAGGCAGCATTCTATTTACAAGAATGGCTACTGCCCAAACCACCCTGTCATTCAGTGGTTCTGGAAGGTAAGGCCATGGCTGCCTGGGTGGTCCTGCTCCTCAGGCTCGGTCGGACCCCTGGGGGCAGAAAGCAGCCCTCCCTGCTCTTTTTCCTTAACTCTAGTGGAGAGCTGTCCCTGCCTCGGGTCGATCCTTATGAAAGCACTTTGCCCTTCCTTAACCACCTGAGCAAAGCAGCGCTCCCTGAGAAACCCACAGTAGGATGAAGTAGGTACAGGAGCCCGAACCGGCCCTGCCAGAGTGTGGCCAAGAATGGGAGGCCTCCCAGGGCAAAATGTGCTTTGGGGCTGACTTTTCCAAGATGCCGTTTTTGGTTAAAAAAATCATTTTCCCCATTTTATCGGTTAATTCCAACAGACATTTTGATTTTTACATCCTTCAGTCAGAGATGCAAATGAAATGTGATTTACTGTCTTAGCGCCAGTGTTTGCTTTCTCTTAAGCTTAGGAGAGAAGTGAAATAGAAATGAGTTGAGTCCAAGGGAGAGACCGTAAACTGCCTTCTAAAGAACAATTTCAGGGCGCCTGGGTGGCTCATTTGGTTAAGCCTCTGCCTTTGGCTCAGGTCCTGGGATGGAGCCCTGCATTGGGCTCCCTGCTGACTGGGGAACCTGCTCTCTCTCTCTCTCTCTCTCTCTCTCAAATAAATAAGACGTTTTTTAAAAAAACAATTCCCGGGGTGGGGGGGGAAGGGCTGATTGCTTACTTACAAAACTAAGAACTCCTATAACTTGTTTTAATTGCTAAATCTCTATTATAAAGACTATTTCAAGTGCCAGCAGTAGTGGTGAGAGAGAAAATGTTAAAAGCAGACTCTTCAAAGCCTGGTCCACGTGTCTGCCCAGTTCCTGTCCTGATTCAGATGTGTAGCATGCACAGGGTATTGTAGGGGCCTGTCCTGGCCTCTGTTTTTCTTCTAATAAAACGTTCTCTTTAGAGAATTTGTCTACAGTCTTGAAATCTCACACCGTAACCCGGGTTTCCCTGGTGTCGGCGCTTCTCGAACACTGGATGTCTGTAACTGGCCCCGGGGGTGCTGGCACGCTTCACCCACACACACATGAGCTCGGTGCCACCAAAGAGTTTGTATTTCATTTCTTTTGACCTAGTGGCAGAAAAAGAGACATTGTGACCCCTCTCGTTCTCTGAGATGACACAGGCGGTATTCAGGTGCCCATTAAAAAAAAAGACTCCATTTTCAGTCACCTGTCTTGGTCTGACGCCGCGGCATTGATAGTGGGGTCCCGCGTGTCTGCGTTAGCGTGTGCCTGGTGTCCCACGATGCTCTAACCACCTTCTGCCCCTGTCCCTAGGCTGTGCTGCTCATGGATGCCGAGAAGCGGATCCGGTTACTGCAGTTTGTCACGGGGACGTCCCGAGTGCCTATGAACGGCTTCGCCGAACTTTATGGTGAGCGGGGCTCTGTGTGACTCACTGCTCCTCCTGCAACTTGGCAGCCAGGCGTCCGCTGTGGCCCGGCGAGGCTCGGCCCCCCAGGCGCGCGTGTCCCCTGCAGGTCCCATGCGGGATGGGGGGAGGGGCGCTTTCGGGTTTGTACAGAGACCAGTTGGTCTTTTTTGTTTTTCTTGTTTTGTATTGTGGGGTATCTTGAAGGACTCCGTACCTCCAGGAGACAGAATTGCTCCGTGCTTACTGTAGAGATGTTAGAGAGACTCTTTCCGCTCTGTGTAGTAAAGGTCACGCTTCATTCCTCCCCCCGAAAGGAGCTTTATGTGGAAGCTTGCGGGGTTTGGCGGCAAGGCTGTACCTATCTGCACCTCTGCGTGCTCTTCAACGTGGCGCTCCTCCAGTCCGAAGTGGTGCGCGGTCCGTGCCCCCTGAGGCTGTGCGGGCCTCTTGCTTCTCCCCCAGCAGATCTTCAGTACTGTCTGGGAGCCAGGGAGGGTGTCTGCGGCTCTCGCTGAGCACGCCCGCCCACCTTCTTCCCCTTCCTCCAAGCCCCACCTTAGCTTTCTTGTCTGCCTGCCTCCACAGTGCTCGGCATTTATTTATTTCTCTTTTTGTCTAGGTTCCAATGGTCCTCAGCTGTTTACAATAGAGCAATGGGGGAGTCCTGAAAAACTGCCCAGAGCTCACACATGGTGAGTGTCAGAAACACACAGTTGTCCATAAATAGGGCTTTAAATACTTAGCTGGGGCTGATGCTGGGCTGGAGGTCACAGAAGGCTATGTTGCCTGCCCACGAAGAGCAGAGTACGAGGTGCCAGTGATGGCGATGAAATGTAAGTTGTAATGCTGATAAAATTCAAATCAGGGTCTGCATGGACCCAGTGTGTTTGTCTCATAAAGGGTTAACCCCCCCCCCCCCCGCCATGCTGGGGGGAGTTCCTCCTCGAGACCCCATCATTCCTGGAAGCAGAGATTTCACTGTGTATTCACTCGACATGGAAATGACTGTTCTCAAACTCTATAGACAGATTGGATTTTTATTCTAACCTTAAGTTGGTTTTTATCCCCAGAACATGGGATAAAATTCCCTGGAGAAACTTTGTTTTAAAAGGTCTCTTATGGGGACCCCTGGCTGGTTAGTCCGTTCAGCGTCGGACTCTTGATTCCAGCTTCGGTCATAATCACAGGGTCGTGGGATCGAGCCCTGCATCAGGCTGTGCACTCAGCGGGGAGTCTGCTTGTCTATCTCCCCCTGCTCCTCCTCCCTCTCTCTCAAATGAGTAAATACGAAAAAATAAAAGGCCTCTCATGGCCATCAATAACCCATACGTCTCTGGAGTTGAGCAACAGTACAACTGGCTGGAGGAGCATGAGAGGTGTGACAGAGGCCCCGTCCCCGGGGGTCAGCGGCGGAGACCAGTGTGGAGCAAGGCAGCCCTCAGGCGTCCAGGATGCAGGGCAGGAGGAGGGGCCTCCCATGTCTCTGAGAAGTCCCCTAAACCCAGCAGCTCTTGGGGGAGCTCTGACTGATCCAAGAGCCCGTGTTCCTTGGGTTGGTTTCCCCCCACAGGCTTTTATTTCTTGCTCTCAGAAGCAAGTGGAGGTGGGCCGTCTGGAAAATGGTGAGCCCACGGTCGTCACCTCACTGCTGGAGAGCCCGCTCTGGGCTGCAGGATGCAACTGAACGCTCATCGTGGGAAACGCCTCCCCGGCCTCAGAGTACCTAGGAGAGAATTCTCATGAAAGTGTATTTGTGGAAAATTGGCTGCGGGAGGTTCTTTTGATTCCCTTGCCTTGCCAGAGAGGAAGCATTCCCCGTTCATACCATTCGCAGGACTCTGAATGGCAGGAATATGGTCCTTGCCCATCCGACCCTTGAAAGCAAGCTGACCCCACCTAAAAGTGGTGGATCTCCCAAGCAGCGACTGCCATCATTCTCTGCCTTTCTTCTGGAGGGAGAATGTGTTGCTAGTTCGGAGCTTTTATTCCAAACAGTATCTGAGTCAAATGTCATTTTCTGGGTTATGATAGCCTTCGTTTGGGGGGCAGGCAGTACAGAGCTGGGCCCCGGGCCTGCTGGGATTGATTGCACGGCTCCCAAACTCATGGTCTCGTCATGAGAAAGCAGAGTGAGAGCTGAATGGTTGGGCCCAGCCATCTTCTGTGGGCCCGGCACGATCAGATCTCTCTGGTGGCGTCAGGGCGCACTCGGGGAAGCCTGCCCTGTGATCACGCAGCTCCCAGATTCCCAAAGCGCAGGATTGGGACTCAGCTCTGCCAGAACCAGAATCGACACGCTAACCCTGCACTGAGATCTGCTGTCTCGGTTGATACAGTTCACTTTCTTTGGAGGCTCTTTGAGGAGAACCAAGGAATCGAGTGTCCAGCCCATGTGTCCCTCTGTGCCCCTGTGGACAGATGTCTTACTGTTGAACTTTCCTTCTGTTCCCAAGTCCACATGCTTGGGTCACAACTAAAACCTAGTGCTGCCCAGATACGGCCTCTGAATTCAGTGGTTCTCAACGTCGGCTGCACATTGGAACCTCCTAGAAAGTTTTTTTTTTTTTTTTTTTTTTTTTTTAAATACCGATGCCAGGGTCCTGGCCCCAGAGATGTGGACTTCATGGGTGTGGTGTGTAGCCTGAGCTGTGGGATTCTCAGAACTCCCCAGGTGGCTCTGGCAGACAGCTGGAGTTGAAGATCCCTGCCCTTCCCTAGGACGAAGGTCTGCCCACGGGAGGAAAGCAGCCCCGGGGGCTCTTACCGGAGCCTCTGTGCTTCCCTGTGGGTCACAGCGTCTTCCTGCCAGTGCTCCCCACAGATGGCTGCCTCCCGCTGAGCAAGGGCGCTGGGCGCAGGCTGGCAGGGGCGCACCCGTCCTCCCGGCCCAGCCCCGGGCTGTGCTGTCTAAGAGGAACGGGGCTTTGCTGGCTGCTCACAGCAACGGCCACCACCGAACTTCAGCTGCAGATAGGCCTGATTTCTTCCATGTTTTATGAAAAGATAAAATTGGCAGTTAAGCTTCAGAATACAAACGTGACTTAGCAGGAGGGCGAGAACTAGTGTACTTTCCATAAACCTCGCAGAGGTGATTATCCAGTGTCTGAGATGGAAAGGGCTTCATCTCACTGTTCTAGCTAAGATCAGTCCTTGGATATTTAAAATTACACTTTACAAAGAATCACAGAGCTGCCTGCTCTTTGGAGGCGACTAAAACTCACCTCCCGAGGCCCGTACTTCTTCCACGTGAGGAAGTGAAGCCCATGGAGACTACGGAGGCCACTCAGCTGGCTAGTGCCAGGCCCGAGCCAGACCCCTGCCCACCAGCTCATTCACGCTTGGCAAGCGCTTGCTGTGGTCCACGCAGGGTCCTAAGCACTTTATGTGCTTGAACTCCTATGATCATCACGGTGATTCTGAGCAGAGGGTCATAGACAAGGGGCAGGTGGTGACAGAACCTGGAGAAGGCACCACCAGGCCCCCTAGGGATCCCTGGCCCTGGACTATGAAGGACCAGTTGCAGTTGACACGAAAGCCACCTTCTGTGACGGGCTCCCGTTAAGTGCAGTCTGCAGAAGTGAGGTTCTGTTTCACATTTGAGAGCATCAAGGAACTGAAAACCCTTTTAGACGTCGCCTTCAGGGTTCCCGGGTTCCCGGGTTCCCGAGAAATGTGGGAACTTGTTCTGTTCATATTTGGAATCACAGGTGACTATCTGGAAGTTGCTATCCGGGAAAGCACTTGGCGTGGGACCTAGTGTAGAGTAAGTGAGAGCATTCCAAATAGACTCAACCTTGGTTCATCCCAAACATGTAAGTGCTTGGTGTTCAAGGGTCTGAAACTCGGCACACGTGTCAGGGACCTTCCCTCGTGGGCCTCCCCCCACCCCCCAGGCTGGGCCTTTCCCGGCCCCCCGGCTCCACATCTAGCTGTGGTAGAGAGGTTTTGTGGCCTATCAGAAAATTCTCGTCTCTCGTCCATAGGTTATAGAACCTCTTTGGCGTGGACAGTGTCATTGCTGGTATTTATTTTTGATGACTCGGAATTGTTGCTGAAGACTTGCACATCCTCTTGCTCAAATACCAAATGCCTGCTCAGCCCCCCCCCAACCAGGAAAGTTGTCATGACCACGGGGTAACAAGGATAGCCTTTTATCTGTGCTTTCTGTTACTTCTGCAGCTTTAATCGCCTTGACTTACCTCCATATGAGACCTTTGAAGATTTCGGGGAGAAGCTTCTCTTGGCTGTGGAAAACCCTCAAGGATTTGAGGGGGGGGATGAATCCCCCCCCCCCCCCCCCCGGCCTCGGGGTGGTGGTCGTCCAGCAAGTCCTGCTTGCACTTTTGCATTTGCCTAACAACAGACTTTGCAGAGACCAGGTGGAAGGAGGAGCCGCAGGTGTGGCTCCTGGAGCCGAGCCTTCTCGAGCCTTCGCCCACGACTTGCCCAGGTTCAGACGTGGGAGCCCAGTCCCAGGTCGAGTTCCTGCATTTTCCACCATGAATTATCAACTGGTTGATGTGTACACTAATGACATTTCAGGAGGACTTAATTCTATTTATGTTGTGCCTCTGTAGGCAAAGCCCTTAATAAATATTTTACATACTTTATAATGACAATGAATGGAATTAATCACTCTACAGGTATAGTATTACAACTCATGTTTACTTTTTAAAATGATTTAGATCGATTTTCAGATTTTATTTCATTACAATTAAAAGATGTCTCGTGTACTTGGAAAAGTGAGCATATTTTTTTGGTATTTGAATTTCATACCAGGTTTAATGTCAGTGACCTTTTTTTTTTATTTTTGAAGTACTTTGAGCACCTCCCCTCTCCCTACTTTATTAGAATTGGAAAACTGATTTTTGTCCAAAAACCTTCTACAAACAAGTACTTTGAGAGCATTTAAACTATAACATTAGGCATAATGATAATTTTCTCCATATTCAAAATGCAAACAAACTGGATATTACTTTTTTTTTTTTTGTACAAATTTAGCATACTAGCTGCAGGCTGAGAGAATTGTAACATAGCGTGACAAATTCGGTGTTGACTGGAAGGACTCACACCATTATTCCTTAGAAGTAATTACGTGCGCCAGAACACCTGTGGGACAGGGTCGGACTGCACTTTCTCAGAAGAGACATTACCTACCCCTCCCTGATGCTGTACAGGCCTTCTCTCCTCACCGTTTCTTCTTTGCTGTTCGTAGCAGAGACGTTTGAACGATCCTTGGCACTGCTTGATTTGAAACTGTGGAAACCAGAGATCTGTTTCATATCTTATTTGTATGCATTGGCTAATGGTCGCTAAATAACCAGTTCTTTGTTCTAACTGCACCAATTCTGAAGGCACTTTATGTACGACATGGAGGTCCCGTCTGGTTTCGTTGATGTTTTGGTTTTTTACCGTAGACATTCAATGTGGTGATTATTTCCTCTCCCTGCACGCATCTTTCCGGTGCAATATCTGTCAGTTTTGACTCTGGCTGCTGGTGTCTAAAACCTGGCTGTAAAGCTGAGCCTACAGACCCCGTCCTCACCCATCGTTCTGTGATTTCGGGGCGACTACCAAGATTCATTGAATGCACACTTCATCTAACCGGGTTTTGTGCCCTGGGACGTGTTGCATGCTTCGCCACTGCGTACTGCCTGAATGGTGTCCGTTCTGTGCTGGACTGAAAAGTGAGCAGGAACTTGCATTTGACCCCCGCGGTCGGTCGGGCCGTTTGGCTGGCGGTGGCGGGGGTGGAGCGTTCCGCGCGCTTGGATTCTTTGCCGCTTGTGAGTGTTCATTGCAGAATTCCGTGGTTTTTTGAGAGGAAGCCTGAGGGCAGCCTGGAAGTTCAGCAGCTCTGCGGTCTTTAATCTGTGTTGTCCTAAACCCTGTCGTGACAGTCGGGGGGCTCTAGAGATTCGATCTCTTGCTGTAGATAAGACAGAAAATCGTGGTTTGGGGGCCTCCCCATTGGTTATGTAAGAAGGACCTTTTGGTGTAAGAAATTCATTGTTACCCAGCTCTGGGTGGCTTGTGAAAAACCACGAATGTTCGGGGTTATAAGTGAGCCGTCTTAAGAGGTGCAAAGGTCGGAGGTACCGGAGAGAAGGTGGATTTCTACAGAGGTGAGGATTGGCTCCCTTTTCCTATTGATTTAAAAATATCCAATAGTGATCAGAGAACTCAGAGGTTGAATAATTGGAAAAAAAACAATGCTCATTATTTTTCTCTATTTGTGGGATTTTTTTTTTTTCCTCTCTTCAGTCAATATATAACAAATGTCTCATGGCAAAAAACCCCCTCCCTGTGGCCCCTCCTGGTCCAGAGGGCTTTCTTTCTAGGACTCACACCAAAGCCAATGCCTGGACGGATTCTTGAGAGTGATCATGTCATTATAGGGGAGAAAGCCCACGATTCTAGTTGAAGAACTGGGACTCTGTCATTTTGTAAACCGTGTATTCAAAAAATCAGAATATTCTGTGTAATTGCAAATTAGGCAGTGTTAAAAATTTGAAAGAAAAATCCATCCTAAGATCACTTTCATGCCAGGAGCAGATGGGAATTGTCAAACTATACCCCTGTGAATACTTGAAAGACCGTAATTGTGACTGACCACTCAGTTCATCTACCACTAAATGCTGGGTTCGGTGACGGCTGAACAGTGCTGGGTTTGGGGTGTGTTTTTTTGTTTGGCTTTTGATCGACATCGGATTCCCTCATCTCAGCAATCCTCAGTGTTTCACTCTTTGTCTAAAATAGTCCTACATCTTGTTTTCTCTAGATGCTGACAACCACTCTCCGACGTCTTCACGACAGAGTCCCAGGGACTGCTGGTCGTTCCCGTCAGCAGGCCCCAGGGAGGCGGGGGGGGGGGGGGCAGGACTGGCTGCCGCCTCTAGTTACCCTCCCCGCTGGCGCTTCTCCTCAGTGCAGGGGCTCTGTACCTTCTGTTCCCTTAGAAATTACCTGGATCTGGCTTATTTTAGTTGCCTGAAGAAAGTTAACAGTATTACTATGGGTCATTTTGCCACGAGGTTAAGAAGCTAGTTCCAGAGTTAACAACTGCTTTGTGGACATGAGTTATGACGCCTGCCTATAGGTCCTGGGTGTCTCTGTCCCTGTCCCTTGCTGGCCTGCAGGCGAATTTGGAAAGTCTGGATTAGCTTCAGATGGTGTGCTGCTTTTCTGCCGGCTGCCTCTGGAACAGGAAACCATGCGGCGTTTGTCTGTGGTTGTATTCAGCTTTGAAACGTTTTCCGTTATGTACTTCTCTGTAGCCAGTCCTGAACCAAATCACAAGAATGTTAAGATGCTTCTTTGATTTTTGTTTACAAGGCCCTTTGGTCGAACATCGGATTTTCCCTGTGGTCAGATGGCAGATGCTCTAAAGGGACGGACATAGGTTATTCCTCCCACATGAAGATGCAGCGACAGATTCTGAGAAATGGTTGGCAAAATATTTGAACCACTTTCTACATGTCACAGTGTTAAATAGACAACATGTACCGTGGCTGTTTGATCTTGCCAGATCCAGACTGGCTCTCTTGAAAGCCAAGTTCATATGCAGCAAATTCCTAGTTGTTGTAACAGTTAACTAATTGTTTAACACTTGACTCTAGCATTTTCTTGTCTTGTGTCTCACCTCTGAACTTTTAAAATCTATAGAGAGCGTAGGTTAATCAATTCTCGAGCCCCCTGCCCGCTGTGCTGGCCCCCCTCTTTTCCTCTTCCTCGGCACCCCCCACCCTTATTGACCGGGAGAGGGCACTTACTGTCTGGTGTCATCTCCTGCCTTGTCAGTAGGGGGCGCAGCTGCGCAGGGTGACTGCCTGTTCTGCTCCCTTCCTGGCTCCCAGGAAATTGAGCACTACCTCTTGTCTCCTTCAGGCTTTGGGGTACATCCTTAGAAGTCACGTCAAAACTGCCAATTTCAGGTCTGAGATGCATTTTTAAGAAATCCTTATAAACTCCACTTTGTACTTTAGATTTTAAAACTGGGAAGACAATGTACTTTAGATTTTAAAACTGGGAAGACAATGTGATATACTTTGGACCACTTTTTAATTTATCTAAGCCTTAATGAACGGTGTATATACACTTGCATACACACACCCCCACCCCCGAGTGTTTTCAGTGTCAGAAACGATGCTGTGTGTAGCATTAGGACGTGAGCTTGTGTCATGTTTTATTTCAGAAAAGGATAGCTTTCCGTCTTTATGAAATTTTCCAAGAGAACTTCTCGTTAGACATCTATCCTTGGTGAAAGGTGTTGTGCACAGAGCAACGCATGTTTTAAAATGCATGTTTTCTTGTTCGTTGGCCTTATGTTTCTAAGGAGTATCAATAGGAATCTAACAGCATTGGCTACAGACCTCTGTCCTGCATCTCAGCCTCGTGTCAGAGCAGTGAAAGCCTTTCTGATGACCATAACCCTGTGTCCGCAGACATCTGTGTTCCTAGATAAGCCAGTTTGCCCTTTGACTCAGACTGATTTCACCTAGATTGTCACGGTTTCCTTCATGTTAACTTTGCATAACTTTGTTTTTCCTTTACTACTACTTATGTGAGATGTATATACATATATACTTACATACGTATGCTGTCCAAATATATATGTATATATTTGTATAGCATTTTTACCTTTCTCGAGTAATCTGGTTTCAAAAGGGAGTGAGAGCTTCGTCCTTCTACAGTTTCCTCCAAGCTGTGTCCTGAGATGGCTGACCCTCAGAGCCTGAGAGGGACCCCAGGAAAATGATGCTAATGTGCTGTCATTCCGTAATTCGGGATCTTTTACCAAATGAAACATGAAAAAAACAGTGACTTTTAAGGTGAAAAGAGTTTCAAGCATTCCAAATGAATTCTCAATGTTTCATAACTTTTTATTATAAACCCCCCACCTCCTAATAATACAAAGCCAAGTACTATTTGATACGGTGATTACAAACCAAGCTACCTTGAAATTTTTTAAACACAACTTCTGGATAACGCTCCTTTTCACAATCAGAATGGCTTTAAAATATGGTTGAATTTGATACAGGAAAAGTTTTGTTTAAGAACAAATCCTTTTTTGCTTTTCATTTTTCTTGAGAGATCTAAAGAGAAATTGTAGATTGTTTTCCTGACAGCGAAAAAGTAATGTGACAAATGAAGTCGTTGTAAAGAAGTGATACAACTTGTCAAATATTTAATAAAGAATTATGGAAGCTGGAACGTTTTCTACATCGAGTATTATGGGCTGTCTGATTTCAAGCTTCTCCGTTAATGCGTTGTCTTAATTGTTCGGGGGATTTAAATGCCTGCAGATGTAGAGCACTCATTTCCTTAATATCCCTCAGAGCCCCACACCTCTACGACGCCATTGGAGTCTGCCCGAAACACAAGGCTCACACTCACTGGGATGCACATCTGTTCTTAGCCATCTGTCATCTTGTTATTCAGCTTGGGAATTAATGACTTTATATAATACTTGCATAACTCAAGGGAGTCCATCCCTAGAAAGGCTTACCTCACTTCTGGTTTTTAACCCACCAACCCTCAATTTAATGTGAGTTAAAGAGTCGGTCATATAGTGATCTGAAGGGGTACGTGCACCCCAGTGTTTATAGCAGCAATGTCCACAATAGCCAAACTGTGGAAAGAACCTAGATGTCCATCAACAGATGAATGGATAAAGAAGATGTGGGGTGTGTGTGTGTGTGTGTGTGTGTGTGTGTGTAGGAATATTATGCAGCCATCAAAA